CACTGGTATCTGCATGGGCTGGTTCCATGACATCCAGGAATGCGTTTCCCTGGGACAGATATTGGTGGAAGGTAAACGACCGCCCATGTAGGTCCATTTCCATTTCAAAGTTGGGATCTGCTTCTGGGTCCGGGTCCGGGTCCGGATAGTGCTGGACCTCTCGCAAGCTGACGGAGTATTCACTCCCACAGTACGAACCGTCCGCATTCTGTGAGAGGCTGTTCGATGGCTCCACAGGATGGAACGACTCGCTCAGGGTGGAGGAAACTGGGCTGTAGTTGGCGGCGCATGGAGACTGGCGGTACACGTGGATATGGCTCCAGGATTGTTCGCTCAAGGAAGAATCCGCTTCTGTCTGATCGCCACCGCATGAACCGCTCGGAGACTCGTACCTCCAGCTGGGGCTATGGAAAAGTTCGGGCTCACCATCATCACCATGCCGACCTGCAGATGTGTTCCAGGTGCAGAAGCCTCCGTGTGAATCCTCAACCGTTGGAGGGCAGAGCGCGTAGCCGTTCATAGACTTTCCCAGATACGACAAACGGGCCTCCATGTATGACGTCCTTGCCGCGATGGAATCGTGCCGGAGGTTCGCGCTCTCTCTGTCGTAGGAGTAGCTGGCGGGGTCTATCATAAGGGGCAAATCAGTCGAGTTGGGGGATAGGGAGGAGAACTGATCGCTCAGGGGCCCGTCTTGAGAAACTCGGATCTGAGGAAGCTCATTCATCCCGGGCGAGAACATCATGTCTGCCATGGTTCGTACCACAGAGTTACTATTGGCCCCAGTCAACAAACCTCGGAAGTGATGAGCATTTACAGAAGGACGACGGACTGTGGAAATCGCAGCAGGAAAAGAGACAGATATTATATATAGAAGATAATATAGCAACGAGACAAACAACAAACATCAAACGACAGGAATGGCGTGGTTGGATATTCCCCCTTTTTATCGACAGTTGATATCATCACCAAAAACCGGTACCGGAAAGGGGAGCGAGCGGAGAAGAACTAACTCTGCTCTCTTCCAGGGAGATTACTCGGTAATATAAAAGAAACTGCTTTGCCGCAGAGCGTATTATTAGATAAACTAAGTGAATCAATCGGCTCCAATCTCTGGGCCTGTTTCCAAGAAAACTGCACGACCAGCACGGCAAACACATGAGAAAAATCTCAACAGAGCCGCACAGTCGGCCAAGGGAGTTGAGTTGGTGCTTTGCCGCGCTGAAAAAGCAGTTGTTGTGTCATGAAAGTCTGATAGATGGTTGAACCAGAGAACGCTCAAACCCCGGTCGGCCCCTGCATGACCACAGGCTGGCGAGGGGGGGCGTTGCTGTCCAATACCAGTCGAGCAAAAGTGGAACTTCGCCCGGTCAAATGATAAAAAGGCTGCAAGTCAAATAGCTTTAGCGGCCAACGCTGGTATCCAGTGGTAAATGGGGCAGCGGGATGTCTTTGGGGCGCATCAGCGGCCATTCAAAACTAGCGAAGCACACCCAGCCCCAACAACCCACATGAGAGGAGGAGGAGGAAGAGGAGGAGGAGGAGAAGAAGAAGAAGAAGAAGAAGAAGAAGAAGAAGAAGAAGAAGTCGTTCTTCGTCGCTGGGATGGAGGCAGCCAGTTGTCTCTGCCTCGTTACGACTTGCAGATTTGATTAAGTCTACGGGACCCGAAGGGGGGACATCGGAGTTTTGACCCCCCCCGGTGAGTTTTTTTTATTTATGTCCTCTCGCTCGTGTTTATAGAAACTTAATTCTGCGCGATCGGCCGGGTGGGACTATTCTTAGATTCATTCCATGAATCACTTTGTACTTGAATTAACGCGGGTTTTATGCAGCCTGGGAGCAGGAATAAAAACAATTTAAAAGGATTAAAAATATAAAGGATTAAAAAAACATTTACATTTACATTTACATTTACATTTACATTTACAAAAAAAAATAAAAAATAAAAAATAAAAAAATAAAAGTTGAAGATTAAAACACGCCATCCAGAGGCATTTTCCACATTAAACATTATTTCAAACCCCCATCGAGCAGAAAACAAACCCTTCAGATGCAGCGTCAAGGATGAGACACTGCACACCAATACCCAGATAGTAATAATCCTGCGCTGCCCTCATCGTTCATGTGGGCCCCTCTCCGGGGGGGGGGGGGGGGCCCAGCGATGGCAGAGTAAGGAGTTTTGACAACCCAATATGTTTTGCGCTAAACGGCGTTCCGACCCGTTGCAACTTGTTCTACCAGAATGTTTTTTTTGTTTTTTTTTTTTTTTTTTTTTTTTTTTTTGGGAGTGGCGAAATTCTAAAATCAGACGAGTCCAATCCATCATCACAAGTGTTTTGTGTTTTTGTGTTTTGCTTCACTTTGAAGCGCAGAGCAAAAATAAGCTCCGCGCTCTCGTTCCCTGGCTGTAACGCGTGGTATTACTTTCGCCCGCGTCTTGTTCACAGAACAACTGAGTTCCTTTATCAAGTGACTCACTCGCCTTCGGGGGTGGAGTAGTTGGTTGGGTACTCTGTTAACAATTCTCATCATCTTCCGCCTGGCCTCGGTGAAATAACTCTTCATGCAAGGCAAACCCCCGGTGCCCCAAACTGGTTAGGCAACCGAGTTAGAACGGAGATCGACCAGGGAACTTGGATTTATTAAAAGCAAAATCCAGGCTGATCGGAAGTGAAAGCTTCAGCTGCCTTGGGGAACACATGGTTTCTTGCTTGTTCCCGCATGCGTACCCAAAAATTTTTCGTCGGCTCGTTCCAAGAAACCCTGCTATAATAAAAGAAGAAAAAAAAAAAGGAAAAAAAAACTCGCGATCAGGTTGATTGGACGATTTGAACAGCCTCCCGTATTTTGCCTGCTGTCAAATATCGTCGACCAACCAGCCCCGAGATTGAGAGCAATTACAATTTAGATGTTATCTTATTATTTTAATCCTATTCTGACAATCCTGGAGAACTACCCGCCCGCGCAAGAAAAATAAAAAAATAAAAAATAAAATAAAATAAAAAAAAAAAAAAAAAGGGGGGGGGAGGGGGTTTAATTTTAAGACATTAAGTCCCCCCCCTCTATGCGGGGTTCGGTACGATGTCTGAGATTAGCGCCACCTAGAACAGGAGCCTTTTTCCCGCCTTTGAAGGCCGATGTCAAAATTTTCACCGAAACCTATTTTGCGGTTACTTCTGCAAGAAGGACTGAAAACTTCTGATTTCATTCGCTATCGTTCGTGGCAGGCCCTGAACACATACAGGGAGATTTGCCTCCAAGAATTCCAAGTTCTTCCTCTCCTCCCTGGTGAGCACGCACCGTTACGCGATTCTATGCGCAGGTAGGAGTGTTCAACAGGGCGCATCCTGGACGCCAAGGGCCAGCAACTACTACTTGTGCTAGCTCTCCAGCCCCTCGTTCCCCACTTCCCCAACGTAAGATCTCTGAAGGGCTTGTTGTGGCAAGGATGGATAGCTGATCCCTGGTATCTGCGTTTGCTTTGACAAGGGGGAAATATATCAAACATCCTAGCGACTCTGTCCTGGACTCATATGGCATCATGATTGCTGATTTTCAAAAAGACACAGCGGAAGACTATGAACAGTAGCTATCCCAGATCAGATTAGTTCGACTAGTTAATCCTTCCTGTGGCTGTTGTAGCTCGTTTCATGTAGTCGCTGGTTTTTTCATTCCCTCTTGACGAACACACCATCCATAGACGGCCAGAGATGGGTACGAACAACGCCGGACTCTGCCAATTTTACCATCACTCCTTGAATAAGGGAGAGATTCGAAGAAGTATAGCATTTATTTTTTCTGATTGGTTGATTGTTCGTCTTCTTTTCTTTGAGGGATATGTTGAGATTGCAACCACCCGGAGAGCAGCAGTTTTGAGGGGGGTTGTTCATTCGGTAGTTTGAACCAACTCTCATTCCTCAATTGGTAACGAACTTGGACAGCTATCGGTTTTGTCCCTTTCAGTTAGTCCCGTGGCGTCAAGTTTGCTATTTTTTTTTTTTTTTTTTTTTTTTTTCCTTTTTTTTTTTCCTTTCTTTTTTCCTTTCCCACTTGGCAGCACGCATCAACACTGTTTTGTCTGGGCCCTTGAGCAGAGAGTTTGATCCAAAGTTCCAAACGAGTCCCAGCATTCACATATCAACCAGCTGACACGGATTGGCAGGGAAAGACCGCCAGGAAGTTAACTAACTGTTAGTTAGTCAGGCATTGAAAATGCCGTCGTCAACCTGGGTTGTAGGAAAAATTAGCGACGGAGAATCATGTCGTGCCAAGTTCCAGCGGGGCCTAGCTGCCCCCCACGTTCCAACCTCCCGTCCCTGTGGGCAGGCAGTGTGGCTTCCGACGCATCTCGTATTGCTATTTTTGCTGTTTGATGTCAAAAACCATGCCGTCCGTGCCAGTGATCGTCATGGTGTTGCGTTCGTGATGGCGGTGTTAAAGCCGATGCTAGGGTCTGTTTAATAAGAATGTTTCAACCTCTCTTATCGAGAGATCTTGAACTTAATCATGACAACAAGGGTACAAGTGCAGTCGAGTACCTTCGGAGTATTCTCTGCCAGGCTAATCGTAATTAGGAAATCACCTCGCCAAATATGTTAGAATAACTGGTACCCGGCTTTAGTTTATTAGTTATCTATTTGCCAGAGAGTCTAACGTCATCACGAACCTGCAAGTAGAAGAAGAAGAAGAAACAAGGGATGATGAGAGCAGCCGCGCCAGCAAAAACAAAACAAAGACAGAACAAATAAAAATGGAGCTGTCCAAATAATTTAAAAACCCTCGCCCGTGCAGTCTCATCCAATAGATTCTCCGTTAGAGCGATCGGTGACTGGTGGTGACGGATCTCTCAGTTGATCTCCAGCCATTGGTTGGATGGAAGAAATGGGTGACTCTCACGCTTGAAGAGGAAAAAGGGGCTCCAGGGCTTGCGCTGGGATGAGGCTCAAGCGATGATTAACCTCCCCCATTCCCGCGGACCCTCCTCAGCTTCTCTCGCGTCCCCGAACTCCAACACACTGGGGGTGGGTTAGTGGAACCCCTCTTCTCTTGTTGTTGTTGTTGTTGTTGTTGTTGTTGTTGTTGTTGGGACAGGAAAATGTAAATCAAACCATGAGGAATTTATTACTCTGTAATCCACTGCTCTTGACATCGATCAAAATGGATAGAACCAGAGGGATCAGTTCCAGCGACGGGCTTTTAAACCCCATGTCCCAGTTTTTATCTTTCTCTGCAAATAAAACAGCCCCCAAGGCACGCTCCGACGGCTTCATTCCGTCAAGTTGAATCGCCTGGGTCATCGCGCACAAACTTGCTTGCTCGTTCGTAATGGCCACATCCTGTAGCTGTCCAAAAGTTCCAAATTTTCCCTGCTGTACAAATTGCACGCCTCTAATAGAAACGGCGATTGTCAACGAGAGGGGACCAATGAATGAATCTCAAACACACTATCTATGCTCGACAGGAGAATATCTTTCACCATATCTGAGAAGATTTATGAAAACCCATGATTTTATGGACGGGTAGCGAACAAACTGCTCTCCTAGCTGCCGGCATGTTTGCGCGAAGTCAAACGATCGTAAGCTGCAAGATATACCAATGCCTCATAAACAGTATCCATCAAAACATTGCAAACCCCTACGTTGCGGCTACAACTAAATAACCAGTGAGTGGATCGGCGAGCTGCTGGGCAGCTGGGCAGCTATTACGAGAGTGTTGCGACTCCCTTAGGAAGCTGGATGCAAGATATTTGGCAGGCCGCGATGAGACAGACAATGGAGTATGAAGGTGGATGTATATATATATGCGCGTTCTAGAACGACTTTGTAACAGTATCCTCCATATCCTCTCTGCTTTTTCAATCTCATTATACTTACTTGTATATATCCATAATATCATTCTATCCGATAACATTGCAATTACAGCCAAAAAGAAATAGCCCTGTAGTTTCAATTAAACATTTCTGTCACAATTCTACTAGTCTTTTAAGTTCCGCAAGAGCACCCTTGAGATCACAGAGAGAATCTCGAAGATGATGTGGAGTAAGCAAACAGGAAAGACATCCATTTGCTGCCGATAAATTGACAGATAGAGATCCGCTGCTGGAGAGTACGCCTGCTCGGAGGACATAACTAAATCTCTTTTGGGAGCATTGCGAAAGCCTCATGGGCATTCCCCCCAGATCAATGTTGACTGGGACCCTCGATGGTCAAGAAATCACAAACTCTGCCTTTATGGTATGTAGAGAGCGATAGACGCCAGTGCGACCGATCCTGGTCGCGATAGCAGATAATCGTTTTCTGCAGGGGAGTGGGGAACTGCATGACGTCAAGATGAAGAGCACTTATTGATAATAGCTACGGATATGGAATGACGGCCTTCAACTTATAAATTTTCAGTGTCAATTGTTTGCGGGTCCGTGGTGCTAACTTCATGACGATGCATGAACACTAGGTTGACTGGCACACATCACGGGCGTACAGGGAGGGTGTGGGTTGAACATTCCATATCCATATCAATCTTTTTTCGCCAAATGTCTTCTTCTACAACCAAGGTTATCTTTGACTCGATGCATGGCGTCTGAGGGACGCATAGGGTCCACTGTGCGTTTCGCAAGCAGCTTATCCTACTCAAGGCTCCGGCGGCTCGGCAAGACTCGGCCGCTTGTCTCTTCACGTTGGCGCATCAGTGAAGAAACGTCCTTCGCTCAAGCCCCAAGCCTCGTTCCACATCAAGGCTGGTTACCCGCATGGTGATAGCAAGCATTTTCCTCAGTTCACCGGCAAATTAGTGCACTAGTTGTGCTCTAATCCTGTCAGGTGTTCGTAAGGCATGAATGAATGGCTTTTGGTTTGTCCTATTAAGCAATTCAGCCTAGCGTTCACTTAAACTGGATCTCGATATTAGTACTGTTCCTAACATGCTTCTACCATACCCTAGGATAAACTCACTCTTCGCCTTGTCGAGGCTGTCCATTTTATTGGCCATCGTGCGGTTCATCCTCAACACCCTCACCCCTGGTGGCCGGATGGCGCCGAACCAATGCTTCCCCCTTCGGGATATACTTAGGTCCGGTATCTTAACCATCCCGGCACAAGGCAGAGAGGGGCGCGGCTCAGAAATTCTCGACTTTGGCCCAATTATCTTTTGGAATCAGGCGAGAGCTTCTCCTGGACCGCGTACCCATTTGCGCAGGTTGAGACACCTCCTCTTCATGTAAATGTGCCGCGAGAAACGTGGGTGACATATGCAGGCGGCCCCCGTTGCCTTTTAACAGATAAAACCAATGTGTGGATTTTTTTTTTTTTTTTTCGAAAGGATGATGAAAGAGAGGCCCCGTCAGAGAACTCGCATATGTGGCATATCCGGGACTTGTTGAACTCGTGCCCGGGCGTTTGTGCACTTAATCGCGGCTACTCAATGGTATCTGTTGTGACAAGGCATAATGATTTTTATCTGGTGCTCTAAAGGGATTCAACCTCAAATTCAAGTTTTCCGTCATGCTATCTCGGAGACTCTTGATTCCACGCCGCAGATCCTCCTCGTGGAAGAATATCTTCTGTGGCTGGAGGAGCAGTGGAGTAAACTATGTTTGGTGCAACTATAACCATTGTAGTTATGTCTGCCACATAACTTTGGAGATCATTGGTCCAATGTAAACTTGACAAGCTCTCCAATCAGATCAGATATTCCCAGAGCACCCACAATAGGGTGTCTTTATTTTTCTGATTGCAAGAATTTCATCATCTCCAGGTTTTAATCGATATCAGCAGCTAAATAATCATGTATGATTGCTTGGACTGTTCCCAATGCCACGCAACAGAGGTTGGAGCGCCATGATACAGGAAATGCCTTGGGATTCGAAAGTTGCAAGACACGCTGCGAACAGCAGACTCGAAGGTTTGATTGGTTATTAACGCTTAGTTATGACTGGGAAATCCGACAGTGTTTAATTTTCCGATGCATAGTTACCTTCCATCGATCACGGCTCCGTCCGTAGTGGTGAAAATTTACTTTTTTCGAAAAAAGGGCTATATCGTCTCTGCAGGTTCAGTTCTGCTGTTAAGATAGCAATATATATATCTAATGCTAAGATTTTGGGAGTTCGACAAGTTTGAATAACCTTACTGAAATGATCACTACTGAACGTCGCTCGTTTGAAGAAAGTGTTGGACTTGCAACAGCGTCGGGCTCTCTCAAAGAAAGCTTCAGTCGGAAGATGACAGCACATCCCGTCTCATTTCATTCTCAACCACGAGTAATCCAAGGTCTCTCATAGCTCCTTTTTCTTCCTATAACCCTAGATGGTATCGTGCAACAAGTTCTTGGTGCTGCGTAACATTGACCTGCAACTCGTTGCAATTGTGGCTCTCCTGAAAGGTCACGAAACTCTGATATTTGCTGAGCTTAATTATGCGTGGGACGTGGGCATTCCTTATCCAGGAGATAGGGATCAGGTTGGCACAGTCTTGTATATATTGTGTGTGATGAGGAAGGACTCGATCTCTATCACCTCTAGCTCCAACACACAACGTCGAGGACACAACCCGGAGTTGTCTGACCTGCCGGTCACTTGATGAAAGAAACGATACAGGATTAGAATGTATGTCTCAAAGGACTCATCCAAAGAGTAACATCAACACAATCCGTGGATGAGCGGTATATGCAATTAAAATTAGTGACATGTGTTTAAGAGTACTGGAACGCACCTAGTATGATGGTGGTATATTAGCGGTGAAAAAGAGCACGATAATGAGATAATTAAGACCTGGAAAGCAATGGATATCAATGGTAAGGTCAGTGAACCCCCTCCCTTACCAGGTATTGAAAGTGCTCTTCATGCAAAACAGATAACAAAAGAACTGTTTCACTCTATGCTTTCTTTTCTTTCTTTTGTCCCTTCTTTGGCACTCTTACCAACCAATAAAACAAAACAGCGCCTGCTACATTTGCAGCAATATATACAAACAAAATACCAATGTTGCGCCAGCGATCGTCGAAGTATATGTTTATCCGCGCAAGATATTCATCGGTTGTTGCGGTCGGGCAGAATTCACACACGTCTGTAGAGTCTGGATTGATGAGACGACCGCCGGAAAGAGACATGAATGGCTGAAAATACTGTAAACATGTCCTTCCTTGGGGAGGATGAACTTTTAACACCTCGATGGAGGAGCATTGGACATCAGCACCGGCCACTCCGGTGGAGAGCACAGAAGAAACAAAGTAAGTGAAGGGAGAGATCCGGTACATGAAGATCCAGAAACGAGGCATGGCTTCAGGTGTAGCGAGAACTCTGTCAATTAACACCATTAGCTGATAATCGACAAATATTGGAAAGATATATACCTACCCGCAGAAGATGAGGGTCATGGAGAAGAGAAACTGCAGGACATTTCCAGCTGTTTCGGCCAGGTCGATCCCCGCAATTACCATGGAACTTAACGTGGAACCATACACGAGGAAAATCCAGATGAGGAGGAACATTGTCCCGCTGCGTTCGGTCACGTTATCGCCGGCATGTCGCTGAAACCCAGTTGGATAGTACCAGGCGAAGAACGCCGGCACAGCCATTAAGGTGTTCCAAGGAAGTTCTACCACGATACTTGAAAGCATAAAGGCCTTCCATGAATAAGCCTTTGACGGTCGTTCGCGTACCTGGTTTCACACAGGCCAGGTTAACATCGCCGGACATATTCCAGAACGGGATATCTGACCTACTTCATATAGCGATCTCATCGCCGCAAAATAGGGCATGCTCTGTTGGGCAATCACGGGAAACACGGTCAGAAACATAAAGACTGCAAATAATTGATTCTGCAAGCCCTGAAGACTTGTCTCCGCTTTGTAGAAAGAGAATCCTACGAATAGTGGCTAGAAACAGCCCAGTCCGCGATTAGTGAATGTATAGCAGCAGTAATAGTCAAAAAGGAAACCTGTAGGAGGTTCTGCGTCAGTGTCCTTCGACATGGTAATGAGAGACTTACTGTAACAAGAGCAAGAGAAGCTTTGGCATAAACATATCCTGGACTACGCCAATACTGCTGAAACATTCGCTGCTGGCAAATGAGATACTGGTACCAGAGGGGCATTGCAAATTCCGAGTATCCCTCTGCTTTTACTAGCTGGGACTTCTGAAGTAATTCTTGCTTCATAACAGCTAACTCTTGCCGCACTTTAACCCGCTCGGCGCTTGAATTCCAAATTTCCGGCCAGTCTTTATCAGTTTGTGAGCCAGGAACAGCACCAGTAACTTCCAGCATCCATTCAGCAGGATTTGCATCCGGTGGACACTTAGGGGCTCCCTTGTTCTCGAAATATTTAATTAGGGTATTCATGTTCTCCCCAAGCTCTCCAAAATAAACTGGTTTCCCGCCATCAGCCAAAAATAACAGTCGATCAAATGTCTCCATTAGAATGGCTGACGGTTGGTGGATGGTGCACAAAATAGCTTGTCCGTGATCTGCAAGCTTTCGCATCAATGCGCAAATAGACCAGGCCGTCTGGCTGTCAAGACCGGAGGTAGGTTCATCGAAGAAGAGCAACAGATCTGGCTTGGCGGCAATTTCAACACCGATACTGAGCCGCTTTCGTTGCTCAATATTCAAGCCCTCGCCAAGGATCCCTACGATCGCATCAGCATATTCGTTCATGCCTAGCATCTTGATGACTTCTTCGACATAGGCAATTTTGTCGGCACGTGGAATGGTGGACGGCTGCCGAAGGAGTGCGCTGAAGATTAAAGCTTCACGAACAGTGCTGGTTTCTGTATGCAGGTAATCATTTTGCTGCACATATCCGGTTTTGCGCTGAAACGAGTCATCACGAAGCTGGCCGTCAACTAACATCTCGCCTGTAACCACACCCATTGTGACACGATTGGCTAAGACGTCGAGAAGAGAAGTTTTTCCAGCACCAGAAATCCCCATTAAAACCGTCAAAGTCCCGGGCTTAACCCAGCCATCCACCTGATCTAAGATCCGTCTTTGTTTACCCTTTATTTTGATATCGTAGCAGACGTTTTCCCAATGGAAAACAGAAGTTTGCTTGACAATCGAGGCAACCTGCTCAAGCCGATTTTGCTCAATCCTTTGCTTTTCGTCCGAAGAGGTTCTAGCCGCCTCCAAATCTTCCGTAGCTTTTTTTGTGTGTTTTTGAGTAAGCTCAGGGGGCATTTTTCCGCGGGGGTAGACGAGAACCTCACCCTTGGAAGGCTTAGCAACGACCAGTCCCGAAGCGATGATGCATACCAAAAAAAAGAAGACAAATATAGCACAGATGATGCCAAAGTTTCGCCACAGATTCTCGGCGTAATATTCATAAGATGAATTGAGAAAGGCATCCCCACTAATGTAGTTCTGTCCTGCGACAGCACCAGTACCTACGCAGATTTTCGATTCATTGCCGAACTGCTCGTAGCCAGGTCCCGCTGGAATAAAACTGGCACATGGATACCAGCGATCATGGAACTCATTAATCATTATCGATTCGAAGGCATAAGCAATTGGGTTAATATAGTTTATCCAGCGGAACCAGACAACCATATCGCGCAAGGGAACTGCGAATCCAGTATACATAATCAAGGCAAGCATAACTAGTGACGAAGGGACCATTGCTTGCGCAAGAGTTCTTGAGATCGCTGCGGCTGAATGAAAGATGTTGGACATAGTCAACGTAGTAGAAAATGAGAAGAGCAGAAAAACAAAAAAGGCACTAGGGGTGCGGCGTAGATTTGTCATGAGGTATAGAACGAGGTTGAAGACAACGCATGACAATAACTTCGAAGGCAGATCAACAATAATTGAGCTTATTGATTCGGCAGATGGGCGATATAAGGCATATTTGTCATGCTTTTCCACAATGGGTCGTTGACGCCAAAGGGTCATAATCTCTAAAGAGCTTGCAAAGCCATTCATAAGAATGCCAAAAAAGAGCAACGAGCCACGGCTAAAAAAGCTGCTGGTATCACTAGGGAGATTGTAGAACATCGAGGAGACAACGAAAGACATCATGATGTTTCCGATAACAGAAGTCAAGGTCATCGACATATCGTTCCTCAAGCGTCGGAACCCTCTCCATATGCATAATTTGATCTGCATCCAGTATGAAATAGTGTAGGGGGAGTTGGATCGATTAGATTTTGATTTTTGAGCATTGAGAGAAGCGTGGAACCTATCCAATTGTTCTCCTCCAAGCGGGTATTGACTCTGGTAAGCATCTATTGCTGCGAGGAGAGCTTCCCGAGTAGGGCTTTGCTTCCACCTTGCTGCAAATTCGTCGGGGGTACGTGGAACAAGCGATTCAAATCCCTCGCGGACCCGTCGCTCCTCTGGGTTGGTCAAGGACGTGAGAAAATCCCCTGTGGTCTGCCTCTCTGGACAGTGGAATCCCATATCAACAAAGTATTGTTTAGCATAAGCGGCGTTTCCAAAATAGATCTGTCGGCCCTCATATAAAACAGTCGTTTTATCAAAATTGTCGTAAATTGCCTCGCTGGCTTGGTAGATGGCTACAATAGCCGTTGTGGCTGAATATCTGGTGGAAAGACGTAGTGACTTCACAAACTCCAACGCCGTAGCACTATCAAGGCCACGGGTGCTGTTATCCCAGCATTGTAGCGGGCTTCCGATAAGAGTAGTTTCAGCAATGCTAATACGTTTCCGTTCACCACCAGATACCCCTCGAATGTATTCATTTCCAATCTTAGTGTTTATCGTGTGCGATAAACTGAGCATGGTCATAACAACGTCGCGCATGTGCAAGGCGTATTGATCTCGATTAACACCAGGGAGCCGGTTCGCTGGAGTACGAGCTCGCGCGGCAAAATAAAGGGTATCACCAGCAGTCAAGTCAGTGAAATGGGTCTCAGTTTCCGCCTGATAGATGACTTCGCCGCGGAAATTTTTATGCATTTGATCCCAGGAGATACCCTGATATTGAACATCACTATTCTTGTCCATGTATAAACCATGAGTCTCACCAGCTATGGTCTTGAGAAAGGTCGAGCAACCGCTGGCAAAAAAGGGTCAGTAACAGGCCTGACAAGATAAGACAAAGTTTGACTCACCTTCCTGGCCGACCCAACACGATCAACATCTCTCCACTCATTACTAAACCTTCGAAATCACGCAAAATGTCGATGTGGACTTTCTCACCAAACCCAACTAAACTCTTCAGCCTCCCAAACGCTTTCAACCAAATATTAGCAACATCTGTTTGGTAGTCGGCTGTTGAACCGTAGCCGTGTACGTTCAAGCTGCGGAACGAAACACCCGCGGTGCGTCTGGGGTAACGTTCCGGATCTCTCGATGTAATACGGAGAATGGATTTCATCCATTTGCGCACATTAAACTTTTTATTGTTGGGGTTTAATTCCGGGTCGGATTCAGAGTCTATAAATGGGTTGATATCGGCTGCAGCATGCTGTGTGTCAATACTGCCTTGTATTGAAATATGGGAAATGCGACGGGCAAGCTCAGTGAGATTATTCTGCTGGGAAGTGTTTATTCCGCCTTCATCCCCTTCGGAGGCAGAGGCCTCGCCTGCAGTAATCGTGGCGGGACTAGGCTGTGAGGCATAGCCGAAAGGATCGGTATCCCCTTCTTTCTCATTCTTTCGCTCTATCTCTGCCTTATTTTGATCGTGTTTTTGAGTCATAGGGTTCAAAACAGGTTGCCTCACTACTCTTTTTCAACACAAAGGGGCAAGATTGGAACCGGGTACTTAGGAACTAGAGCTTGACTTCGAAGCGCTCGGAAAAGTGTGCTGAAGAAAGATGAGATGGGGAAAAAGGGGAAGGGCTTAATAGGATGCTGCAAAAGAGGTGTATGGAGCACTGAATATGCTGTGATCCAAAGATAAAAATCTCGGCAGGAGGTAGATGTATTTAAATGTAAATAAATGGGGATATACGAAGAGTGCGACGTATTGCAGAAACAAAAACGCGACTCGACTCTTGTAATAACGAGTGTACATTTTTCCCTATCTCACAACCTTTTTCTTCACGGGCTTCCTAATACTGGCGGGTGGTATCGAGATGCGTATGACACCTCCAGGGTAATGAACGTCTTGCGGATCCTGACCTGCATGGTAGCCGGTAATTGTCCTATACAAGACACGGAAGCCATTCTATCCGGAAAATGCTGGAGAAAATGTCACCATCGCATGCAGATGATTGGAAGGTAATATAACTCCGGGCCGCTGCGGTTCGGTTAAATGGAAATCCAACATTTTGGCGCATGCACAGGGCATCATCATACCTACCTTTCACAATCATCCATATTCATCTACGATTAGTTAGATAGCGGGTGTTTGTCATACCGCTGTCCTAACGTTGTTGGCTATGAAAGCTGCATTGTCCTGCAATCACCCAAAAGAGGAGCTGGGGTTTTGGTCCTGCGGGAAACATTCTTTTCTCCCACTTCAGGACCAAATACTGGATAGGTCCATATTATCAAAAGATGAATCCACATCTCGCTATAATTTAGCCTATTGTTGACGTTCTTGAGGACTGGCAGGAGTTCAAGAACTTCGTGGTCTCTGAGAACGTCGTCTCGCTAAATTCTCACACCACTTCTGTATCACCCCGTTTTCGTCAACGGATGAGAACAGGAGGGGAAAGATGAAATGAGCGAAAACGATTCTCGTTCGATTTTAATGCGTCCTAAGTCTAGTGGTGTATGGTCAGTTATGGTAACATGAGAAGACCCAAGTCTCAGTGACAACCAGGCATTCCACGGAGTAAACACCCGTTAATCCCGTTAAACTGGGACTGTATGGAGTAAAATACAGGGAAGGGATAGCTATCTGGCTTTTGTGACAGCATTGCAATTGGTTAATTATCCTGATCGTCAAATGCCGGTGCATTTTCTCTATTCCCTGGATCCATCTTTACCTTGTTCAGCTATGCCTGCGTGAATGGTGTTCTTAGTGGTTGAATTTTCTGGGCTTTCAAAACAAAGGACACACTGTCAAACCTGAAGCACACCAGATGCCTGGCGTCTTGTTAAAGCAGGGTTATTCCCAGGTCGGCGCTGTTGTCACAGGTCCCAAGAAGCTTATCCCAAAACCACGTCACTTCGCAAAACTAATATAAACCACCTTCGTAGTGTTGGTTTATTGCGACAGGTGGTCGGAAAGAATCAAGTGCGCGGAGAGTTAATCATCGGATACTTTATCGAGCTCTCCAATTCCTTTCGATCTTGTTTGAGATTCAGAAGGCCGCAAGCGCCGGATTTGAAATACTTACATTGTCAATCAGAGACCTATATATGGTGTGGCTTTTTGGCACGTTGACATTAATCGCCGAAGGTGGTTGTTTCGCCGGATGTTATGACAAATCCAAGAATATCTACACCAGCATAAACCCAGAAACAGAAACGCGTTTCAATCATTCCGATTCCGAGGTTTATGTTTTGTCGTTCTTAGACCATGAGGATAACAACCAACGATCCGCGCTCTTCCGAGAGGCAATGGAAGGTTAAGTTCTCAACGTCATGCGAGATAGCCTCCACTGCGAGGCCGTCGTGAGGGCTCCCGATGACTGTACAGTTTGAAGTTATTGGGTTGGGCAATGATTTGTTTCAGTTCAGAGCTCATTTGCTGACCCGGGTGTTATTTGATGCCATTTCCACGGTCGGAAAAGATGAAAGCGATGAAAGGAATGGATGTACTCCGCATATGGGCACGTCAATCGAAGTTCGTATGTCACTGGCAAGATCGACAGGACTCCAGTCCGCCAAATATCGGGATTAACTTATCAATTTACATATTTCGGTTGTGGAAACTTTGCCTTCCAACCTTCCGAGACAGGGACAGGAACTCAGTGAAATTCACCGGATTAGGTGAAGAGCACATATCATATTATATATATTTGCCAGCAAACAAAAAAAGAAAAAGAAGAAGAAGAAAAAAAAGAAGAAAAAGAAGAAGATCCCACATTTTACGGGTAGGAATGGAGAACATTTCGTTTGCGTGTTCTCCCAGACAGAATACAAGGTTTGTTCCATTAGCAATTAACAGAAGGAATATGAAGATGGGTTTTAAATCTCATGATTGAGGGGATTAGCATATTCAAGGGTCGAGTTTTTAGAAAGCATGGAGCTGCCAAACTCTTCAATTTTTTGGCATCTTGAATGTAAGATGAAGCGCATGAAGGATGACGTTGTGTGTATTGAATTAGATCTTTGGCGGATTGTCTATTATCCAAACGTTGATACTCATATTTTTGAACACTGGGATAATTGATTAATTCTTTGTACCCCATCGGCCGTGGCCACTTAATTATGATATCATCGATGGTCTCATTAACTGCTATGGCTCTTGCCAAGAGGATCATTTTTCTCGGAGGCTCATGGCAAGGCAATTTGGTCAAGTTGCCTGGTTATGATGTGGTGGTCAAGTTCAGCCCATCGGTCCAAATTCATGAGGCAGAGAATCAACAGAGAGTGGGAATTAGTTGACCCAGACATTGTGACAATCGAAGCCTCTTCGTACGGTAAATCGCTGAAACTGAAATTTCACTGGCTTCCTCCACGTACAACCCCAAGCACCAACATGACTGATATCACGGATTTCTCGCTCATTGGCAATAGACTCATTGGAGATGTACTTGTTGACGAGGAGCTCAGGTTGGAAGATATCAAGATCTGCAACGGCAGGGATGGACACATCATCCGTTCCGGTGATGTCATCGAGCTGTTCGACCCATGATCCGGAAAAACTGCCTTTGCCGAATTGGAATTTGATGGAGATGCAATGGGTCCTACAACGTCTGACAGTACTTGGTGGAGCCGCGCTCTACCTGATGCGGGTCTTGATGATGGTGGGTCCGGAGGTCCCGCGGGCTTCGGGTACACCGGGATTGGGGGGGGTGGCATTACCGACAAAGGGCTGCATGGAACGCGTGAGGAACGTCACGATGAATAGGACGCTGACGAGGAGTGGCGTAGTAGGATCAATAACTGGATTGATGCGGGCCACCAATCTTGGCCGCAAATACCAACCGTGATGGTGCCGATCCGTCTTCGTGATCTGCTCTGGGAGAGGCGACTCCAGCAAACGACAGCGAACTTGTGAAAGGTTTTTAGGATTGCATCGTGAGCCGGTCGAGTACGAAGGCAAGTCCTGGAAAGCGCACCAGGAACGGACAGAGAGTATACAGAAATGCGTTGATTCTTGTCCACATCTGAATGCATATTAGTTGGAGGGAGTAATTAAGTCCAACCGGCGGTCGACTCTATCATCGGCACTTCGCCTCAACAATCTCCAAAAACCTCTTTCGTGCCTGCAACCCCCTTTGGCGACCTACGAGACACAGGTTCTCACCAAATATCATGGCAGACATTATGAGCATTGATTATGCAAATGAATCAACGATCTATCGCAAATTGGGGGGGAAACGCAGGGGAGGGGTTGATTGACTCGACAGTTGAGGGACAGCGGTTAGCAGAGCACCAAAAACAGCCATTTTCGGCCGCTGTCTAACGGTCACATCGCTAAATGGAGTAGAAATCAATTCTTCATTATAGAAAGCCAACATATAATAATATATTTACTTTAAATGGGAAGAGGCAAAAAAATATATAAGATTCAGGAGATTAATATAACACAAGATCTTATGAAAAAAAAAGCTGCTTGGAGTATTACCTCTTTGACCTATTGTTAAAAGTACAACTAATTATTTAATTAGTAAATCTCAAAGTTCTATTCCGCAATCATAATTATAAGTATTACAGATGCAGTAACTGTGATATTATTGAATATACAAGTTTAGATGTTCTAGAGTTAGTATTTTTAATTTTTGATAGAATCTTTTTCATTGTAATTGATAATTAGTTATGGTTCAAATTGAATGCTTTAACTATATCCGCTCTCAAATTGGGTGATCTGCTTAGTTAGCTATCTAGTTAAGCCACAACGACTTCACTTAAACTACATCCTTTATGCACGTATCTCTCCAGCAGAGCACACATATCAAAGCAACAAGAAGCACGCCTCAATTGCCATTCGAAGGTATCGCCAGCGGATATCATGACCACATCGAAAGAATGGCAGAAAATGCTCAACGGAGAGCTCTACTGGGCATGGGATGCCGATCTACAGGCAAATCGTCAACGTTGCAAGCAGGCCTGCGAGAGTTTCAATCAAGCCGGCAATGTTTCCCGGCGACGCAGAGTAGAGCTGTGGAGAGAGTGAGTGTTGAACCACTCCATGCTCTTTCGCTATGATGGCAGATTTGTTGATATCGGGAAACAGCATTACTGGGGACACCCGTGCCCTTCCGCCTGTCCATCCAGATCCTGAACAAGATGAAAAGCAGTTTCAGGATACGGATCCGGTGGTCGATCCTCCAATCTCTGTGGATCACGGGCTCAACTTCAAGGTTGGAAAAGGATCATTTCTAAATTCTAACCTCCTTGTTCTCGATACATGTCTTGTCACGATTGGGGAGCGGGTATTGATTGGTCCCAATGTTTGCATCTACGGGGCAACCCATCCCTTAGATCCTGCAGTACGAAACGGGCTTGAGGGTCCAGAAGCCGGAAAGGAGGTACATATTGGAGACGATGTCTGGATAGGGGGAAGTGCCATCATTTTAGCAGGTGTTAGAGTTGGGAGAGGAAGCACCGTGGGTGCTGGCTCGGTTGTGACCAAGGTATTTTATACTATCTATTTGTTGACTTTTTTTTTTTTTTTTTTTCAACTCTGTAGTTACCGGTTTGTAGTAACAAACCTTATTTATTTATTTATTTATTTATTTATTTACTTATTTTAATCAGGATGTCCCGCCGTTCCATTTCGTTGCTGGGAACCCCGCCAAAGTTATTCGCCGAATCGAGACGAGAATGGATCCAGATTACAAGCACGCTAGTCAATTCACAGAAAAAGAATGATATTATAGAATTAAAAGTAATTACGTGACGTCTTAAAATCCAATGCTGCGTTGAAAGTCTGTTGTTTACAGTAACTATGGAAGTTTTCACGCATTTCACGCAGGGAAATTCTACGCGAGGGAGATCCTAGAGCCCATTTACCGACCTACTATTTATATCACGGCAAACGAGCTGTGAGCGAAATTTCACTTTATATTTTTGATCTAAAAGATCGGAATGATTCCGACCGGGAGGATCCACCCAAGCGTCTCAGTTGTCACTGACCGTTGGTCGGCCCCTTACTAAGATCATGCACAAGCCGTGGTGGAAGCACGCAAACTCCTGCGCTGGTAGGTTGATCCCAGGCTATCAACATCATATCTTTGCTTTTGCAAACGATTTTCACTTTAAGAAGGCCCAGTGATCCGACCTTGTAGAGTTATAAAAATGCGCGTGCCAGTCGGGGCTCTATATACATATATTAGCACTCAAATCACGACGTGTGGTTGATTTCTGCATATATGTTCTGTACACTGATGTATAATATTCCCCCTGCTATATATATGCACCTATCATTCCTCATTTATCATAATATCTACCCAATGCCCCGATAGTCAGTCCAATCCACATACACATAGAGTATCTACACCCCCTCCCATATATATCTCCACAAAAACCTCTCTAATGCTTGACAGCCAATCCCTCTCTCCAAAAATCACAGCAATCCATGACCCTACATCACAGGGACTCGACAAATACGTCGAACATCGTCCTCCACACATTCCCAAATAACCCTTCTCACCTCCACAGCAACCTTCTCCACAGAATCTATCGCCCAGATCACATCCAAATGCTCGTACTCTTCAATAACTTTTGCATGTACAACACGAACATGGGGCTCGCGCCGGCTCTTCAGCCGCCGTAATAACCGCCGGCCATCAACCATGTCGTCTAAGCCAGCAATCCACAGTGCTATTGGCGGGAAACGTTCATCGTACCAAGCGGCGGCATCATCAGCATCAACACCCGTGGACGGTGAGACATTGGGCATAACATCCTCAGCTTTCAGTTCCTTCTCCGGAGCCTGCGCGTCTTCGCGTGCATCCTCCGCATCCTCTCGCGCAATCTGTTCTCTGGTGCTCAAGATGCAACCATGCGTTGCAAAGCCGCCCTTACCCAGCCACCAGCGCATGCACTCAGCACTCACATAGACGGGACTAAATTGGAAGAAGCGTGAGCGTAACCCACGATCCCAGCGGGAATCAGACCAATTGAACAGGTACGAGAAAACTGTGTAGCCCATTCTGCCGTAGAAGGAAGCGGGAAGGAGGGTATGCATGGATAACATAAAGGGGATAAAGGCGTGGATGCCGAAGATGATACGGAAGCAGGATGCAGGGATCATGCGCATGAATTTTAGATAGGGCGTGTTGACGAGAGGGCCAGCGTAGGCGGCAGGTGAGAGAGCGCAAAAGATACTGATGCGAGAGCCGAGGGAGGGTTGGATATGTTTGGACAGTGCGAGGAATGACTCTGTTGTACCCTGTGAATGTCCGAGGAGGGCCAGTTTTTCGAAGCCGGTTTCGTAGAGAACGCGGGTGACTAGAGCTGGGAGGTCGAGGGCGGCCATGTCTCTGACGGTCCAGGACCAGAAGCGGGGGTCTGACGGAGATAAGGAGAGATGCTCTGGATGGAAACCATAACGATTGCCGCCGAGCCAGACGTCGTAGCCTGATTTGGTGAGGAAGAAAGCGAGACTGTCGTCGTCATTTGTGCAGAATGCTCCGGCACTCTGGAGCAGGCCCGGGATCATGAGAATAGGGTACTTTCTATCCCCGTTCGGGGTGGGGCCTTGTAGATCTACTTTTGGTACCTGTAGGGAACTGGGTGGACCAATGCAATCCCTATCAGTCGGGGACAGTGGAGAGTATTCTTTCGGGTTATACAGATGCCATAGAGTAATAATAGCACCATCTTCCGTCTGAACCCTATAAGTTTCCGAATCCAGCCCAACTCGTCGAGCATAATAAGCAATATCGCAAACAATGGGATCCGGACCGCCCTCCTTTGGCTCGTAGCGGGCTTCAGTAATTCCAACATTGCGCTCCTCATCCTCGACTTTGGAGCCTGCCTCTGTGCCAACAGCCATTTGAGTCCGTTTTTCATACATCCATTCATGCGCAGCAATCTCCCGTGCAACTTGCCTTTTACGTTCCTCCTTCCAGAATGGCCTGGTCTTGTCTGGATCACGGCCGCAAAGGAGGATATAATGGCCCTTCATAGCGGCGAAGCCTCTGCTCACGAACGCCGCAAGAACGATGCCCCCAAGAAACGTCAATGACAAGGAGAAAGATATAGCACGGAAAGCATACCATTGGATGCTAGTGAGCGCGGAGGGAGGTGGGTACTCCGGTAGCGGGGGAAAGAGGGGATGTCGAAAGTATTCTTCATCTTCATCAGTGATCTGTGGTAACGCAGTGATATCGATTTCGGAGTCTCTTTGACATGGCGTTGGAGGCAAGGGTTTAAATAGAGGTCCAGATTCAGGTTGAGATGTTTTCTGGTTGTGCAAAGCGCAAACAGGCGAAGACACTGCACTCGACGGAACAGCGGAGATCGAATCCTCAGACCCGCAGCAGGCGGGGGCAATTGAGGGACAATTGATGTCTGCAGATTTCATAACAAGCTTGGAAAATTCTTCGCTAATGATATTGAAGCATATTTTGTTTCTATACTGTGCACATATAGCCGCAGAGTGGCAGATTGAATGTTTGCCAGGGACTGAGGCAGATACGGGTCACTATGTTTTGAGTCGCGACAACGCGGTATTCAACAAGGCGATTGAACACCTAACAGCAACAACTAATGGAGGCAATGAAGTGGGGGAAAAGATAACAATACTGGGAAACACCGCACACATAGTAAACAAACATATACACTGAGGCCCAAGCATCATTGGGGGGGTTGAGGGGAGGGGGTTTCAAGCTCGTAAAAGTCACCAAGGAGAACCCTAAGTTAGTTTCTCAGTCAACCCATCCCTGGTTGGCCAACCTTGGAACGACGAGCAATTTAACCCTGTTAAAAACCAGGATTAAAAAAGCAACCTTAAGTTTTGAGATACATGCGTAATGTAAGATTATTGCAGCTGATTGCATGGCTAGCATGATCAGATGAGATTGACACGATGAGAGAATTGACTTGTATTTTTCGACAAGTCAACTTTTCCTCTTCAAACACATGAGTATATGGTTATCATCATTGTGTAGCTGGTTACCCATGCTACCAATTTATTATGTATGCCCCCCACCCCCACCCCTTCCCCCAATTCTAGTAGCTAATGTATCCGTTAATCCAAGCCATATACCATGCAATATACCCAGCCAATTTGCGATCTAAAAAAACAATCTAATCTATAAAGTAATAATGGTAGTAAAGACCTTACTGACCATGACAAGAAAAACCCCTGTAATATCGACAATGAAGTAGGGAAAACAGAAAAATAAGTCTAAAAAAACCCGAGTATGTCTGACATTAACAGGAAATCAGACAAGGAAAAATAATGAAAAAATAATTGACGAAAGGAAGGCATAAATCGTGAGGACGGCTGGAACGGGTCATGCGTGGATACGTCATGCCGTTGGTAACATGATTCAGGAAAATAGGAAAAACAAAGTAAAATGCCGAACGCCCAATCGGAGGCATAATAAACAGGTAGTAGCAAAGATCTATCTATATTAAATAACACCAAACAAACTAAACGCCACCCATCTTTCAGTCCTTCACATCGCCAACAGGACTGAATTTCTACCTCCTATCATCTGTACCAGGCGAAGGTGGGTGATGTAAAAGAATATCATCCTGTTCAGCGCGGGTCGAATCGCTGCCCGATTGGGGGTCTAGCGGATCATGCGAAGGAATATAACTCAGTCCCGTGTAGCGTCCTTGCTCCATCAGCTCCGTGTCGGCCGTTACATGGTCCTTGTTACGGACACTTGACTTCCCTTTTCTGGATGAACGTGAACCTAGGCGGGAGAAGAAACGCTCACGGTGGATAGGGGACGACAGGCTACCGTGCGTGGGTGGAAGGCCCGCGGAGGCAACGAGACGTGACGGATGTGAATCCACCGAACTGCGGGAGCGGGACTCTTCCAGCTCAGAAACGCGGCGTTGCGCTTCGGCTTCTTCTTGCTCTTTCCGGCGGCGCTCTTCGGATTCGCGGTTCGCGTTGCGGATTATGTCGTTGACTTTTGGATGCCGGCGGTCGGTGTGGACGTCTGACATGGAGTCTCCCGCACTGAGTTCGCTCATGCCTAAGGAGAAGTCGACGCGTTTGGAAATGGATCCTTGCCTGGCGCGAGAATTCATGGTCGTGGAGGAACGGCGGCGGAGGATGGATGCATGTCTGTTCAGGCCGGTGGAATGACCGTGGCCCAGGTCTCCTAACGCGTCGCGGGATTCGGCCACTAGCTGTGGATCTGTCGGTTCATCGGGCATGGACGAATCAGGGCCTCTTCCGTTTGTATATGTGGGTGGAGCACCTTCGTGGGAAATGTGGTAAGGCAGTTCTTGCCTCGCGCCAATCATGTTCATGCGTGGTCCTTCAATGCCGACTTCCTGTAGAACAAGCATAAGAGTGCAGATGAACTTGTTGCGGCGTTGAAGACGAAGCAGTTCGTTTTGCCAGTTTGATTTATAGAAGAAGACGACGTTGAGGGTGATGGAGAAGTTCTCAGTCACCTGTCGCAACTCAGTGAGAATTTTACCCTGATACTCGCGGTTCTCAGAGCGGACGAACTCCGTGAGCCGTAGACGTAGGGTATCAATCTGCTCAAGTGTGGTTCCGAACTTGATGACGATGGGGACGGCCTCTGCCAGGGCCCCACTTCGCCGTTGGTTTAATATAAAAAGGGTGTTGAGATAGCTGTTAGGTGCCTGCACCACATGCCCTTCCATCTTCTTAAATTCCGTATAAAGCAGAGCAATTTCTTTCACAAAATAGTCGTCACCGGTTAAAGCTGCGCCGGTATTTCCGTAGATTGAGACTCGATCTCCCACGTCAAACGGATGCTTGATGAAGACGAATACGATTGACTGAAGAAGTTTGTTAGCACAGGAGGGGGAATAGGGGTAAGAATTGTGATGGAATAATACTTGCCTGCAAGAATTCCTGGGCTGTAGCAGAAAACAGCCAGGAGAGTGCTAGAAACGTAGAGCCAGCGGAAGTCAAGACACCAGCAGTGGACGGAGAAATCAGAGACAAAAACACGAGAATAGTAACAACAACGACGATAAAGGCCAAGACATTATCAAGCTTGGAAACGACGGAGTCGAGATCCTTTAGTGAGGCGGTGATGGACTTGCGTTCCCTGCCAATTTCAACACATACGGCCTCCAGTTCCTCCATGGAAATGTCGCCATTCATATCCTTGTCAAACATGGTAAAAGCGGCCTCTGCCTCGTCTCCGTTTTCAAATGCTGCCTTGAGATCCCCTGAGAAAATGGTCTCGAATCCTTCGCGGACAAAAGTCCGGTATAGACGGCGGGCAAGAACCTGGCTGCCGGATGTTGTGCTTAGGAGATTCAGCACGACCTGGTGAGGATGGTAACTTTTAGCAACCTTCTTCCCTATGAAATCACCGGCAACTGCTCCGGCGACGTCCCCGACCCGGTTTAAGGCTGATCGCGCAACCCGTTGTGCGACTCCAGCATATTGCATGGGAGTCCGCGTGCCAGAGCTCTGCGGCGGAGATTCTTCAAAGTCGCGATCTTGCAATGTAATTTTTTCCCTGGAATAGCCATACAACTTGGCCAAGCTTCCGATTTGGAATTTGTTAATCTCAATGCGATCCGCATACGTGCGAAGATGGAAGCTGATGGCTACCAGCTGGATGATAATCTTCTCAATAAAGTTGACAGTTGCGCCTACAAAAAAGGAAACAATGATTTTATTGACGACAACCTCCCATGATCTGGTAGCACGATTCCCGTCGATATGGTGGTTTGTCATAGTTGGCAAAAAGGATACCTCGATTCCGAGGCACCAGAAGAAAAGAGTTGCGGGAAGTTCAAGCTGCTTCCCCAAATCACGCCACTTCTTTGCATTGTTGGTGAGTATACTCGCTATCAGGCCCATGGGGATAGGGAGGCATTTGGCAACGATGCGACCAGCCCAGAGGGTGAGCCAGACAATCTCCAACCACACGGAGAACCATAGTAGCTGTACACCACCAACATTTGCATTTGGAAAGGCAAATAAGCCAGCCAATAGTGGAATGAGAAGGACCAAAACCAGTGGAGTAATATAAGTGAAATAGCGAACCAAGAAACTGGATTCGTGAATCCTTTTGAAGCACTTGGCCAAGTTTGTTGTTGGGTTCTCGGGTGGGTTGAAAATGGCAGCCTGTTCATGCAGCGGGTTTGTTGCCGCTTCGAATTCGTCGACAGGTTCAGAGCGCCTCGAGCGGCTGCGCAGTAAGGACATGGAACGGCCAACTCTCTCATGCGTAGATAACTTTCTGTCGAGTGACGACACGACACGCTCTGCCTCCATCATAGCCAATTCATCATCTAGACGACTGGCAATTTCCCTGTGCTGCGACGGGGAACGGCAGGGAGAATGCGGATCTTCCTCCATTGCTATGTTAACTGCCGTGTTCGTTAGTTTTGGAGGATATGATACATCGTTCACCACCGTGCCGTCCTCTGAGGAGCTGGAATTATATCTGTCCGTCTTCTCGTTAAGAGGTTTCGGTTCCGAGGAGGAGTCATTAACTGGCGCGGACATGGCGAGCAGGTGGTAGAAGCTCGTCCCTTGCGACCCCACTCTCTTTGTCTCTCTTCTTTTCTTTTCTTTTCTTTTTCTTTTTCTTTTTCTTTTTCTCTTCTCTTTCTGATTGCTCTCCTTTTGTTAGGTTTTCTTCTTCACCAACTTCAACCGTTGCAAGGGTTATCAGGCTGCGCTGACGGAAACTCTTTTAAAACTTGGAACGACAACGCGTGTTCTTGTTCATGCTTTCTTCGGAGCAAGCGTAGAGGAACAGCAGGTAGCCGGAAAAACGATCGAACCTTGCTTGTGATTTGGATACTATATGTAAGACGTATATAGGAAAAATAGGAGTGCAGCTGGCGAAGAATTGAATAAGCGGCTAGAATAATTCATCGACGCCTGACCGATTGTTGGTGCGCGGGAGTGATAATCGAATGACGAATACACGATTATGCAAGATGTAGGTTATTATTAACCACGGACAAACATTATGCAGCTGCAGGCAGAATGAGGGTAGAGAAAAAGTCAGGAGATGATGAGAAATTGGTAACAGAAAAGAGTGGCTAAATGCCTGTCAATGGCTGTGTCAAAGAGAAAGTTTTTCTCTTCTAGCAGGCGAGCCTATTATCAGTTGATCATCAGATGTTTAAACTACTCTCGTACGGAGTAATAATTATAGAGTACAGCGAGATCATTATAGAACAGTTTATAGAAAATAATAGAATTACAACTTTGAAATCCCACTTCTCCTTGGTCTTGTACACGTCCACCTTCTCATAACCCCTCCTCCCCTTCCCCCCAACACAATTTCCGACACGAAAATATGCAATACACGGGTGACAAGAGAGCAGTGGGGCGCGGTGAAGCACTATCATTCGTCGTTAGCACAGGCATCTTCGTCGAAGCTCCCCCAATAATCAGTGGGATTGCTAGCATACGTTCCTTGATTCTGCGTCGTGGAGCTTTCGTGGAGCTTCCCGGGATGCTGCCCAGGTGCGTGGGAACCGCTGATCCTTTCTCGGCAAGGAGTTTTAGGGCCATGGGATTGCTGAGCTTCGAGCAACCAATAGTGATTGATGAAACGGTTGAGTCATTGCTTTCTATTCTTATTGATGATTATGTATTACTCTTACGCTCTGCGAGCAATTTAAGTTTATGCGCATATTGGTAAGAGCAGGAAAAGGGAAGAGATATAAAGGACCATTTTAATCTATACAGAATCCATTATATTTGTTCCAAAATTCTCCACGCATGTCTGAGTTAACCACGCTGGCTACCCACATGGGTAGTTTACAGTAAGGGCCCAGACGTCACCGTCAGCTAAAGCCGCCACCCGCCCTGAAGGCTTGGAGCTAACAGGTGTTGAGTGCCAGGGAGAAAGGGCCCTAGAAAAGGTATGGACAACAAGGGGAGCAGACGAGCAGGGAGGAGAGTAATATATACAACAAATATATGCTGGAGAATGTAACAAGAATGGAAATCAAAGTTGGATTGAACGGTGGGGAAACACCACGGAACCCGACATCCACATCCAATCTCATCATATCTCTGAATCTCAGCTCTAGTTAAACGCCTTGACGGATATTTATGGGATTAACTACACGAATGGACTTCTTCATCTCTCCATCTCTTCAACAACCAACCACCCATCCTTTTGGTCAAATCACCCTCAATTGAACTTTAACCTTCCCGCTGTCGCCCGATAATTACCGGGATCTTTTTCTGTTCTACGCGTCCATTCGCCACTCGGCCTCCTTAAAGAGTGCTACAGCACCCTTGTACACGTAATCGAGATTTTCGGTGCAATGCTTGCAAAGCTTGCATGATGCGGGGCGGGGTTATCGTGTGATCCGATGTCAATATTCTCAGAGATATCAGGTATGGAAGTTCAGATTTTTATATTTTTGAATGGCTGCATGGTACGAACCACCGGGGCAGCTCAAGCACCTAAGGTGTTGCCGTGACGTGAGCCCTCACCAAACCTGCCTTGCTTCCAATGGCATCATCCAGTAGTTAAGCAGAGATCCACCATCCATCTAGGCCAATAGCAATTTGTGCAACCCCTTCGCGCGGTCCATAACCCTGGATTCCTAGGAATATTAAATCTCTCCATAATCAGGCGTATAAAATCCAGCAATTGCCCACTGTCTTCCATCACAAAACGAGGATAAGAAGAACCTTTCTTTTTAGCCAAACCGTTGCCGAGGTATCAGATGGGTGTACAGTTCAATGAAAAATCTGACAACTTAACGAATTTTCCGTTTGAACAAGTGTAACCTGGTTAAGGATGGTGGGGGTGTTAGATACATGGATATTAAACAAACTCTATCGATACGCAGGCATTATAATAAAGCGCTAAATGGAATGGAAGAATAGAGAGTACGTTGATGGAGAGAATCAGGACCTGGAATAATGAAAAACTTGGGTGATTGTGGGGGGTAGTTCTCAAGAAGCCAATTGTTGGAAGACAAGTCATGCTGTATCAGACATAGTTATTACATCCTAAACATTAGCACCATCTCTATCTGCACGACAAAGATGTCAATGTCGAGCTCTATCTCCAAGAAATAATAAGACAAGGAGGCACTATTACTGCTTAGAGTAAAGAGGGGAGACGAATCCACCAGAGAGGGTCGCGGCTTGTATGAAACCATTCGAATATCCATTTTTCAGGATGGAATCAGACTTCCGAGGTGGGATATCCGATTCCAGAAGATGTCGTAGAATGCGTTTTCCTGCCAAAATGGTATCCATGGTTTTCGACTGTCCAATCCAACGTCGTCGTGTGGTTTTAAAGGGTAAATCGGTCTGCCCGATGGAGGACATTTGACGTTCGACAGCAGCATCCGATAACAGGTTAATCCATTCATTCAACAAATAACAACTTTAATTTGCCTTATCTTCAAAGCTAGTTAGCTATTTTCGGATGGATACAGTTTTTTGGAGGGAAACACGGAACGGGAAAGGCGTAAATCCTGCTGTGAGCATCCTCGGTCTTAACACAGGAACAAGGAGTTAAAATGAACAGGGGATGATGGGTTTGAGAATATTCTGCATGCCAGAATGAAATAGACATATGTTACAATGTATAGTCATTCTCTCTTATATTGTAATAAAATATAAGGAATGAATTACTAGTTAACTTGCCTTTTTGTTACGGTGACTGTCTTTCAAAGACAGATAGTTTGAAAGACTTGCATTGTTAGAGAAGAAGCCCACAGACAACTGCTGCTGACCTAACCAACTGATTACACGTGACGTTCTCTCACGCTAACCTGATCGGGCCTTTCACTCTTCTCAACATCTCAACATCAACATCCGATTTTCTTCATCTTCTTCAACTTCTCAACTCATTCTCCTCCTCTCCTCTTCATCCCAATCAGAGACCGTCCTGTGGGGACTGTTAACTCTGCTTCTTCTCTCCTTCTCGTACTCCCTCCATCCAGTCCGTTTTTCACCACATCTGTCACCATGAGAGGCGAGGTACGTTCTTGATGAACCGTTTGTTTACCCCTGGCCATTGGGCGTGTCAGCCGCGTTTGGCCCTGCTGTGCCGCTATTCTGCCGACAACACACCACACACACACACACACAGCAAAATCACGACAACCTCATCCATTCCCCAAAATGTTTCCTTATACAGTCACCCGTGCATAAAACTATTCCGTCCAAAGGATACACAAATCTCCTGCTGACAATTTACTCCCCACGATCAGGTTTGCCATCTCCATATTGGCCAGGCTGGTACCCAGCTTGGAAACAGTGCTTGGGAACTGTAGGCTTTCCTCACCGCCTTTCTCCTACCCTATCTCCCGGACTTTCAAAAAATCACACCCCAATAACTAACTCTCAACACAACATTGTCTTTATTCAGATATCTTCTCGAGCACGGTTTGAAGGCTGATGGTCGTCTGAACCCTGAAGCCACTGATATTGGCGAAGCCGGCTCCTTTGAGACATTTTTCACAGAGACTGGCAGTGGCAAATATGTCCCCCGTTCCATCTTCGTTGATCTGGACCCTTCAGTATGTCGATAAGGATATAAAACATTGAATAGGATGGAAGTTGCTTACAAGTTCTAAAGCCAATCGATGAGATTCGCACCGGTCCTTATCGCCAGCTCTTTCACCCTGAGATGTTGATTAGCGGAAAGGAGGATGCTGCTAATAATTGTACGGATCACTTCTTCAGGCTACACTTCATTACACATGCGTATCTCATTGCAACTGGACTTGTAGTTTGTGCTAACTCCCAGAATATAGATGCTCGTGGTCACTACACTATCGGAAAAGAACTGGTAGACAGTGTCATTGACCGCATTCGTCGTGTTGCTGGTATGGATATATTCTGTTTTGGTCCTTTGGTCTATTCTATATCTTTATATAGTATAGTTTCGGCGTGGGGAAAACTTGTACTGAGGCGAACTTGCAACAGATAACTGCTCATCCCTCCAAGGATTTTTGATCTTCCACTCGTTTGGTGGTGGTACCGGTTCTGGTTTTGGTGCCCTCCTCTTGGAACGTCTCTCCACCGACTACGGCAAAAAGTCCAAGCTCGAATTTGCTGTGTACCCAGCCCCCCGTGTCTCGACCGCCGTTGTTGAGCCGTATAACGCCGTTCTCTCCACCCACAGCACCATCGAGAACTCCGACTGCACATTCCTTGTCGACAACGAGGCCGTATACGACATCTGCCACCGAAACCTTGATATTCCCCGCCCCGGTTATGAGCATCTCAATAGCCTCATCGCCCAAGTTGTCAGCTCCATCACCTCCAGCTTGCGCTTCGATGGCGCTCTAAACGTTGATCTCAATGAGTTCCAGACCAACTTGGTCCCTTACCCCCGTATTCACTATCCTCTCATCAGCTACGCCCCCGTTGTGTCCAGCAACAGAAGCTCCCACGAAAGCTTCAAGGTCCACGACCTTACCTTCCAATGTAAATATTGATTCCTGAAACATTATGTGAGGCAGCTATTAACACTGACATTCAGGTTTCGAACCAAACAACCAAATGGTCGTCTGTGACCCCCGTAATGGAAAATACATGGCCGTCGCCCTCCTCTACCGCGGAGATGTTGTCCCCCGCGACTGCAACGCCGCTGTTGCATCTCTCAAGGCCAAGACCTCCTTCAACCTCGTAGAATGGTGTCCAACTGGCTTTAAGATTGGCATCAACTACCAGAAGCCAATGCGCGTGCCAGGTGGGGAACTTGCCCCTGTCGACCGCTCTGTCAGCATGTTGTCCAACACCACCGCTATCGCTGAGGCCTGGAGCCGTCTCGACCACAAGTTCGACCTTATGTACTCGAAACGCGCCTTTGTACACTGGTATGTTGGTGAGGGTATGGAGGAAGGTGAATTCTCTGAGGCGCGTGAAGATCTTGCTGCATTGGAGAAGGATTATGAGGAAGTTGCTAGTGATAGCTTGGATACGGAGGGCGATGAGGGACTTGAGTATTAGAAGGGAGAGTTATTAATGCACACCAACGCGGGATGAAAAGAGAGAAAACTAGAATTGTCTATAGCGTCACACATTGAAGCCTTAGCTTAGGTTTGTTTTTAAAACTGAGCCTATGATACACCCCCCACCTGTTTGATAACTTTTGCCCTGCATCACTTGTTCCCTTTCTTGTCCTTTTCTGCTAGTGCAAGTTGCCAGCTGCCCTCCTTTTGAGATACGTTGTTTTGTAATCAAAGTTCGCTTTTTTGAGACTATTCTAATTTCTTTCTTTTCTATGCTACGTTGAGTGTGTGGTGTGTTGGGTCTGGTGATGGTCGAAGCTGAAAACCCGAGAGTTATGGGGATAATAGGACATACACAGGAAATAAATACCTTTCTTGATACATATATTTACCTGAGTTGTTCTTTATTGATGTAATTGGGTATGATGGACAGTTGCCATTGAGAATTAGATGCAAACGGTACATGTAACAGAGTTATACGGTCCTGGATGGAGGAAAAACAACAAAAATTACTGTTTTCCCCAGATATGTGGTTAGTACAAAGCTATGGCTCGTCCATTAGATGGAATGCAATGTGAAATTTGGAGGACAAAGTATATATATATATATATAATATTTGGTCTCCAGATATGCAATTCCAGGGTATAGTTGCAAGTTATATCTTTTGCCCATCAGCCCTCCATAACAATATGGATAATATGCGCAAAAACGATAACACCACCACCACCAACACCCTTTGTACACATAAAGCCGTATTAATAATTACCCATTACCCGTTAGAAATTAGAAAAGAAAGAATTAATGCGTAGAACCCAAATACCCAATAAAAAAACAAGACAAGATACAAATCTAAATCTATCCTTTCTCCTTCAACAATCCCAAAACATGCTCATACGTCCACATCGTCACCGCACTCGCCGGCGCAGCCTTAATTAAACTAACCGTCAAACCCCTATAAACCCCTCTAACCCCTTGCTGAGCCACAATATCCCTCATCGACCTCCAAACCCCATAATACACGGGTATATTCGTATGAATATACCTTCCCCTCGTCGGGCCCTGAACCTGCAACCGTTTCCGAACAAGATCCAAAGGAAAAACGCCTGTCTTCGCAATTATACTCGCCACCGTTCCCGCGCCCGCATCGCCGCTGCCAAGCGGCAGTTGCAGTTCTGCAAACGGCACGCGCACAGATTCATACGTCGCGAAGAAAAGGCCCATGTACGGGATTATTTGACCAATGGCGGCAGTGGAGCCGCGGAAGAAGCCCCTGCAGCCTTCCGTGCGGGCTATGTCGCGCACGCTCGTGAGGAGGGAGGTGTATATTTTGTCATTTCCCTGGGCGGCGAACCGGGTGCGGAGGAGGTCGAGGGGGTAGGTTGCAGCGGTGGCGAGGCCACCGGCTACAGCGCCGCTGATGAAGGTGGTTATAGGTTGGGGGAGGTGTGTGGGCAGGGTTTGTGAGATTGCGCGATAGGTTGTGAATTGGATGCCGCCGTAGCAGATGTATAGGAGTTCAGCAGGGATGTTGCCTTTCCAGAGGCCCTGGGGGTTTGAGAGGTTTGTTAGTTTTATCCGTAAAGTATCTTTCTTTTTTCTTCTGGTTGCTAGTGGTGTGTAGGGGAATGGGAGGGGCGAAAGTGTACCGTTATGCCCTCGTCGCGGACGATGGATTTGAGTGTGGAAAGCGTGCCTTTGTACACGGGGCCTTTGACGTCGCGATGGGAGAGAGGGTCGGAGAGGGAGTGGATTTGGAGCTGGAGGCGAATCTTGACAACGTCAAGGGGTGCAATGCAGAATCTGTGTACCGCGTAAATATACTGACCATACATCGCCATGTATTTTGGCTTAAAGATATACTCCGTATGTACGTACCTGGAGACCAGGCCAGCTGTTGCGCCCGCCACTACTACCTGAGAACGGTCACCCTGCAAATGATAGAGGCTTAGCATTTAAAATCAACAAAGAGGATTAAATATACATATCCAGGATCGTATCATGTATGCCAAACTCACTTCTTCATTGAGATGTTCTCCTCCGGCTGACATACAATTTGCGGAGTTCGGCCTAGTGGTAGACCGGGACAGAGCAGATGTCCTCCCTCAAAACGGCGAAGGAAGAAATTCCACGGGGTTACCAGTGATATTTAGAAGAGAAGGCTCGAGATAAGAGAGTTCCTTGCACACATATTAATCTCGGCTGGGGAATTGGAGGTTTGAAAATAACGAACATGTAAATTGATATCTGAATTCGCCGCAATCAAAACAAAAAACAATTCCGGGTATGAAAACAACTCTATAGATCACGTGACCGCGGCAGACGTTTCTCCGCATGAAGTTTTAATATCTTGTCGGGCGTTAACTGTAGCTTACAGCCAGCCCTCTTTCAACCTCAACTAAAACTTCATTCGGTCCGTGATATATCAGCCGTGACAGCGACAATTGGGCGCTCTCTTGACCCCTCGGATTCCTTGTTCGTTCTTACTGCTCCTCGCCCAATTCCACTCCCGGGGATTGGCGTCATGTCGCTTGGTCCTTTACCGCTGCACCAGGTCCGTTTTAGGGTCGCCTCGACATACGGGTTTTGGACAGCTCTCAGGACGCAGAGTCCATCAATTCCACTGCTACGAGTTGGTTATAGTGATGCAGCTCAGACTAAATGCCCGATAAAGCTGAGGTCCCACCACAAGAACTCTCGAACGTTTCCAACTGAGCTACGGTCCTTCATCGTGAAAAACATGAAGTCCGCAGAAGTCGGGAGTTTAGGTTGGGTGACTCTCAAATTTGAAAATAGCGCATATTATATTTATTCGGGTATTCGCTTGCGGGATGCGTGTACTTGTGCCAAGTGCGTGGATTCGTCAACTAAGCAACGATGCTTCCGCATGTCAGATATACCCGTGGGCATTAAGGCGAGGACTGCCGAGGTTCAAAATGGCAAACTGGTTGTGACATGGAGAAATGACATTGCTGGTTATGACGAATCTCATATCTCTACGTATTCCGCTGATCAATTGACTACCCTGTCTGCTGGTGAAAAGTATTTCCGATCCAAGATTCGAAAGCGCACATCGTGGGATAAATCGCTCATTGAAAAACATCAGCATTGGGTATCATTCAAGGATTATATGGAAGATGAGACCAAGTTTGCCTTGGCTATGCGTAGTTTGAATGAGTTTGGCATATTGTTTGTTAAAGATATCCCGGAGTCAGCAGAGATGGTTGAGAAGATTGCGACACGCATGGGCCCGCTGCGTAACTCCTTTTACGGCGACACATGGGATGTGCGCAGTGTTCCAGATGCCAAAAACATCGCTTATACAAACAAGCACCTTGACTTTCACATGGACTTGTTATACATGAAAGACCCACCGGGATATCAATTACTGCATTGTCTACGAAATTCTTTCTCGGGCGGCGAATCCCTTTTCTCAGACACACTACAGGCCGCAGTAAATCTGTTAAACAACAACCCCTATTACTTCGAGACTCTTTGCAATGTTCCCACCCGCTTCGAGTACAAGAACAACAACCAGCATTACGAATACTCCCACCGGACAATCGAGATCGACGGCGAGGGAGTGTGGCTAACCGACTCTTCCGGAAAAACATTTCGCGCTTACATTAAACGTGTCAACTATTCCCCGCCGTTCCAGGCACCTAGCTACCTTTCAGAAAGCCTGAAGGAGCACCAGGATGTAATAAAGTACATCAAGGCTATGCATGCCTTTGCTACAGAGATATCAAAGCCCGAAAACATATTACAGGTTAAGCTGGAACCCGGGCAATGTGTCATATTTCAGAACCGCCGCGTGGTCCATGCGCGAAATGCATTTGATTTGTCTTCTGCGAGCGACGGGAAGAGCAGCGATGAGCGATGGCTGCGCGGTGCGTATGTGGACGAAGATGCTCTGAGATCGAAGTTCCGCATAATCAGTGAACAGTTTCCTGAAATTTCGACTAAGCGCATAGTTCCCCGTCCTGGGGAAGTCGTCCCCAATGAGGAGGTCGCAAATGAAGACAATCAAACGTAGACGGATAGTTCAAAGATGAAGAAACAAAATATTATCATTGCCGTGGCGATATGCTCTCGGAATAATCTGTCGATGAAAAATTGTAACCCCTTCTTGATCAGCGTGAACAACTATAGGGAGATGTAGGGTTATATCTCTGCTAGATGAACAAACCTGGAGAAATGTGGAGAAATAGAACCTTCTTAATTCCATATTTTTTGCATACATGCACATTCGTTGTGACTCTACCTTTGTAAAGAGGGTAAAATATACTTGCTATACAGGGTTTCTATTAATTTACTGATGCAACGGGATAGGAAAGTGATAAAGCACAGTAAGTAAAACAGATAGAGAGCCAGTTGGACGTAATATCATATCATTGCTTTACTATATGGTCATCGTACTATTTCATCAGGCAAAAAAAAAAAAAAAAGAAAAGAAAAGAAAAGAAAAGAAAAAGAAAGAAAAAAAAATCAGAAAATCAAATCTCTATGCTGGCGCCCTGGGTGCTACTGAATAGTCCTTCAAAAAGTCCGGATTTGCATTTATTTCTTCCTTGACCTGTTATTTTATTAAGTTACAAATTAGCTTTCATTGAGGAAAGCAAATGGGAAAGATGAAATAAACTCACAATATCTAGCCCGCCCACCAATTCTCCCTTCACCCACAACTGCGGGAATGTCGGCCAATCAGCAAACTCCTTCAAACCCTGCCTCACTTCCTCATCCGCCAAAATGTTGAAGAAGCCATATTTCACACTGTTTTCGCGGAGTATGCCAACAATTTGCCGGCTAAACCCGCACCGTGGCGCACTTGGTGTCCCCTTCATAAATAACATCACCGGCGCAGCCTTCACTAGCTCTTCCAGTCGGGCGAACAGCTCTTCCTTGGTGGATCGCGTTGGTTTGGGAGATGCTTCTGCGCCGTTGATGACGCCAGGAGCATTAGATGTGGTGGGAGCGTGGACATCCTTTCTCAGCTCTGTTTGGAGCGGTGGAGGGATTGATTGCTTTTCTGCACCCACCGTATTACTGCCTGTTGCAGCTACGCCAGCATATTGTTCGATGGCGGCACGTGCTTTGATTGCATCGGAGCCGGAGAGCGACTGTAGAGTCTTGCCGTCGCGGATAAGAACGATGAAGGGAACTGCGGTGACGTCGTATTGTTCGGAGATATCGGGGAGTTCTTCAGCGTTGACGCTGACGAAGGAGACGGAAGGAGGGGTCGTTGGGGGATAGGTTGAGGCGAGTGTGGAGAGGACGGTGCGCATCTGAGTGCATGGTGCGGCCCAGGCAGTGTGGAAATATAATACGAGAAGGGCGGATGGGGGAAGGGAGGAGATGTGGCTGTTGAAGGCGGCTTCCGAAGCAATTTCGTCTAGGGTTGACATGTTGCGGATCCACGGGTGGTATATATTTCAGTAACGTGGAGCGTTACTCCAAACAAGATGCCCTTTTTGATCGGTGAAATAAAAGGGTAAGGGGGTTTGGGTGGGCGTTGAATACCGAAAACCAAGCAGGAGATAAAACTGGAGATGTAAAAGGTTGACGGGTGTGGTCGTGTTGGCAATGTTAATGGTTGTTGGAAAGAATATATCTTGGATAGATGAGATCGGGATGCGGCAGTTTTGTTTTAAATTTTCTTATCAGATCGCGTTAACGTAATCAATCACGCAAACTCACCAAAATTTTTAACTCTAATCACCACTGAACATCAAATCATCCAACATGGCAGTTTTATCAAAAGATCAAGCTCCTGACTACGAAGAAAGGCTTCAATTGACTATTGGTGCCTATGATCCTATCAAATTTCAAGCACTTCTGATTATGATGTTATCTATTAACACCTTATATAATTGATTGTATGGATTCAAGTCATGATTTAAAGCTACAATCAACCAGCGGAAGTTAACTTTAGAGAAATTACAAGTTGAATAAATGATATCTATGAATTAGTGAGAGAAGTCTTTATTGTATAAGATATGAACAATTTAATTCTTATAACATATCATAGGAAATTATAGGATTATCTGAGAGAATAGTTAAATTATTTAATGTAATTTTCCACTGAGTGAAATTCTCCATTAAATGAAAGATTAAATAACTGTAGCCTAACTAGCTAGATTTTAACCTGAAATATCTACACTCAACAACAACTAATTAATTTAATTTAATTGACACTTAGGATTAAGATATCTTGTTCTCTTATGGCCAGGTAAATTGCATTTACTACACTATTATAGAGCTTTTGAGCACAGATAAAAGCCTGCTAGCTAAGGCTTATAAGATTGAATGACAAGTTGTTCAATAGATTCAATAGATGAAATAACAAGATTCTGAGCTTTCTGCTTAGTTATATCCCCTTCAGATTGAATCTGATGATCATATCTCTTTCATTTTTACTTCATAATCTTATTGATATTAAATATATCCTGATATTGCTTCTTCATAATAGTGATGTTAACTATTCCATATTCACAGGCTTTGATAATTTGATTAAACCCTTCTTCTAAGCCATGAGAGGAATTTTTAAAGTTTTGTTCTATAAGATTTTTGACTTTATTTGCTTGTTTATATAATTACTGCAGATTACTAGGTGTTTAAAGTATTCAAAATGATTTCAAGTTGCTGAATCAACTACTTGAGAGGATAGAAGTTTGGAGCTGAATATCTAGTTTCAGGACAATCTGATCAGATTCAAATAGAGCTATTTCAGTAGTCATGAAGCTGCTTTGAATGTTTTGAATTTTAAAGATCTCTGTATGTACTGCAGAATAAGTATCTAAGAAGTTATTCTTTTTAATAATATTGAATTTAAGCTGCATATGTTATTTTATCAAGCCCTTTTATGCTCATTTTAAAATAGTAAAAATATTAATATTCAAAATCTATAGAAGATGAGATGAATATACTGATATGTAAAAAGAAATAATTTTATTATTCTTGCAAAGCCGATCAAATTTCAAAGTAAGATGACTGCAATACTTATTTAAGATAAGAAGAATATAAATGCTATTCCTATATAAATTGACAATAGGAATAAACACTTTAGTAAGTCATTTTATCTCTACTTCATCTGTAGTCCAGTCATTGACACTAACATCAAGCTTTTAGTCATTTGACAAGTCTTCAAGTTAGTTTTTTTTGAAGATTCTGAGCTTTCAGAATCATGTATAAAGGTAAAGTTCAGTCTAACACATTGATAGACTTGATTGCAGTAACTTATTTGTAATTTCTAGACTATAGCAGCTTTGTTTGGTTATAGTACTCAGCATTAGTAATAATCTTAGTGATAGTATATATCTCTATTATGAAGCTAGTCTTATTAAAGTTATATATATCTCTAGTTTGAATTCCATGCTCTATTAAAGTATTTCTTAAAATCTTAAATCAATTCTGAATAACTTTAATATTCTCATATTTTGCTCACTCATAGTTATAGTATCTAATATAGTGACATTAAAGCTTCATATAGTATTTAATCAGTCTTGAAATCCAGTTCTTGCCAACACAGTGAGGAGTAGAGATGAATTGTCATTGAGTAAGAAAATGATTAGTGATATTCTCTGCAAAGGCTGATCAGAGAGGTAATTCTTGTTTAAATAGATCTAGCATATATTCAACTATCAGATTCTTTTTAACCTTAGTCAACTTAGTTAAATTTGCACATAAATTCATGCATGCAAACTGGCCCTTCAGTCAATGATATAAAGTAGTGTAGAGAATATTGAATAAGTGTGTAGCTTCAGCAGTTGAAATTATTTCTTGCTTTTTAATAGCAGATATTGTGAGTTCAATTCTTCTCTCTATTTCTATAGAGTTTCTTGCTTTTTTATTAGAAATTGATGACATAATTGCACATTGAAGTGGATGAGTTAGGAAATTGAAATTATTTAATTTAATCTTTCACTTGATGGGGAATTTCACTCAATAAGAAGTTACATTAGTTGTAGTTAACTTGAATGAAATAAGCTTTGCAGTAAGACTTAGTTAACTAGTTAGTTGTTTCAAAATTAAAAGTTATTATTAAATTATTAACTGCTCATAACCTATGGCATTTAATTATAGTCAATATATTACAAATGAGTTACTATCATTGAATGTATATCATAAGCTAAAAAATATAAAATATTATTTCATAAAATGAACTATATCAGACTTTCTGATATAGAAATATAAATCTACCAGCTAGCTGAGTAATTAAAATTAGTGAATAACTAAGTATAACACTAAATAAATAATAAGTTAAGCTTATTATAGCTAATAAAACAAATGTTCAATAAGTTAACTAGTTAAAAACTACTATTATAAAGAATAATAATAATATAATATATCTTTCACTTATTATTTTATTTATCTTGTCAACTACAGCTGTTAAATATGAACTACTTTAAATTATTAAAATAAGTATATTATAAGTTAGCAAAAAATAATATAAGACTTAATATTAATTATATTAATAAAACTGAATTTGTAAAAATTACTTATAATCTCAGTTATTCAAAATTTTTAAAATATTTAAAAATGTAAACTAGCTAGAATGTCAAATTATAAAAATCAAACTTTGCACAAAACTGCTTTATTAATCAAAGACATAGAATGCTACAAGTTGCAGTTGTCGAAAGTGAAATTATACATATATATGTAGAGAAGGTTAAGAAGAAATATCAAACAGCAGACAGAAAGCTCAAGCTACTAAATAAGTTATGAAAAAGTATGATAAATGAGTGAGAATTTATATGAAGATTTAAGAGAATATTGAGGCTGCCAACTTGCAGCAAATATAATATAGTGAGACATACAGTTAGACAGTGTTTAACAGGCATAAAAAATAGATCTACGCATCTAGTACAAGAACATTCAAGTAACTTGGTATTGCCGCAGTATCACGTGATAAGACCATTAATCATATGCCAAGCCGCTAGTTACCATTTTTTGGCGCAGAAGCTTAATTCAACCCCATCAAAATAAGGCCATCTCAGACCGCCTTGAGCCAATACATCCACAGGCTTCAAAATGCATTTGAACGCTGGTGTCCTTTTATACATTTGAATTTAGGAGGGCAAGTTGTATGGAGGAAGAATTGAAACTGGATCGTGTCTTTCTACTCCGTTTGCTTTTCTCCTTTTCTCAAACGCGGGTAAGCTTACCCAAAACCGATTCTGATGAATATCCGGCTATTTTAACAGGCAGTGTGGTCTCTCCAAGGCCCTCCTCTGTCATTTAAGGCTCTCTTGTACTCATTCTATTAGGCCGCTACATTCAGGGCCTATGAAGTTTGATATTTTAGTCTTTGCTTATGCCACTGCAAATAACGCGGGTTCAAACCGTCATTTTTGTCAAGGCTGTCTGCCAACCACTCATCGTGAATTCACATGCCTTTCTAGCCAGTGGTAAACTGATGTATAGTTTTGGGACACAAAACTTATTGCTTAGTGCTTGACACATAGAAGATTCGATTATAAACCCATTACGCACCAGCTAACCCCCAGTTGATTGAAAGTCATTATTCCAGAGGCACTTCCAAATTCCAGTGTCCATTGTAATTACAATCAGCGAAGGCGACCCTGCCGATTGAAGTCGGGCTTCAAGAATGACTGAATGTCTTTTTCGTGCATGAGTATAATCATATTATTCTCGCACTCCCATCTAGCGAATATTCAGTCGACCACCCAAGTTTGCCTGAGCGGTTACTGGTTGCCTCACTAACTCACCATCAGCTTCCAGAAACTTCAGAAGTTGTGAGCTGGTGTGGGGAGGGCGGGATTGACAGACAGGTCATTTTCGGCCGTTTCCTTCAAGCGGGAATAGAACACTTATTTACCAGCCGATCTTTCCCAGCGTTTTTCGTATCTGCAGCCCAAGGTGTTGTCCAAACTGCCTGGTCTGCAGCCTGACGCCTCTGGCGCAAACCTAGGCGAATCCATGATTGACGCGCCAATCTCCGGGAAACTCCGCTGGCAAGGCTGCGCTGCCTTACCAAATTGCCCCACAAGTACGGAGTACTCTTCTCCATAAAACGCGCCGTAATGTTGCCAGATTTGGGATTTTCTAAATATTGTGCTTCCACGTCTTTTCAACGCTGGAGAAGTTATTAACGCCTGTTATTACTCTTCAGCCCAAGAGGTTCCACACTCTCTTTAGCCGTACGCTGTTCATTTCATTTCTTTTTACTCTTGTTCTTTTCCAGTAGCCAAATGTGTCTAACATAGTATCAGTGTCGCTGCGAAACGCAGAACAATATACGAATCGATATGACGGATTGGACCATAACGAGCCCACGAGGCCCTCGGGAGCATGTACACCATGACAACAACGTTTATCAGTAAGTTTCAGAATTGAAAATAAAACGGGAATTCACTTGTTTTGTGTCTTGAAGATAGTGACAGGTATCCCGGCGGCCGGACTACATATACCCTTTTGGACCAAATGAATCGTACTCGGCATATATATAGGCATACGTGGATCAGTTTCCTGGCGTTGTTTACCTAGTACTTGGTTTGGGCATTCTTGGATAGATTCCATGGTGGTTAACGTCTTGCTAATTTAGAGAGGACGCTTTGTTCCATAATTGGAGTTCTGGAATCACACTTGGTACGGCTATATTACTTTGCTATTCTGGCGGAGAATCCACCGAGCTCCCTCGTGGTGTTCTAATGGTGTCTATCGCCTCATCACGGTGCTTCCCCTCCCTCAGAGGCCTGGCATCCCAAACGTGTCACCCGCCAAACCGGCTGGTTATGGGCGGGTGCCGGCACCTCGGTTTGGTCCTAGGTATGGAGACCTTTGGATTTTCTTTAGGATTCCGTTACTACAATCTTTCCGCACGAATCTCATAGATTCGTCCTTCATTTATTTCTTTAATATCTTTTCCCCTCTAATTTCCTGTGTCTTTCCAATAGCGATGGCACAAGCAACGGTGAGTCTCCTTTAAATGCCCCGAAGTTCTCGGATCTGTCCCGCAATTCTTTTTTTGACTGAGCGCACTGGATTCCCCAGATACCTTCCCACCAAATCCTGTAAATATGGCACCTATTGAATTTCCCATAGATTTCGAACCAGAAGGAATCGGTACGTTATTCGCGAGGTTATCAATTGTTAGTCCGTTGCCTTTTTCCAGAAGTCTGACCAAGACCTTGAGACTACACTTCCGTTCGGTTCAAACCAGCTGCTCTCTTAGGAGAATCCCTTTTCTCCGACTGGCCCAGCGCACAGCCAGCCACGTGGATAATCGCGCCACATTCGGAGTATGTTATGGTCTTATTTCTTTGCCAGATCTAGGACAATTCTGTTGAACATATATTGGTGTTTATCCTTCCATCAGCATTAAATATTTTATCTAACATGTAGTTTCAGGCATGCAAAACATTCGCCACAACATACCGAAATTGCCGATGACGGGTTCCCGGCATCGAGCAGCACCCCGACAATAGGTATTGCGGATGGAAACACGCCAATAAAATTGCTATCAACCGTGAGAATAAACTTGGATCAAGAAAGGTTTCCAAAACTCACCTTATGTCGATTTAGTATGCATGATTAAAGAATGTTGATAGAAAGCTCTAGCTCCGATGATAGCTTCCAGCATCCGGTTAAGCGCAAACCACTCCCAGTTCAATGTATCGAGCCTGGCTGTAATATGCGCACTTTTTCAGACAGAGCATGTTTGCTCCGACACCTACGAGAGGTGCATAAAATCTCCAACCGCTACAAAGTCCCCGGGACCTACCCCTGCCAAATCGCAGAATGTCCACGCTCAACCAAACCTTTCTCTCGACTTTGGAACCTTCAAAACCACATGAAAATTCATGGGCGGTGGAATGAAGGTCAGCTTGAAACTTCTGCAATGCCACCAGTGGAGCGAACGAAACGCCAAAAGTCGGAAAGAGATATACGTTTAGACGATGTGAGATATATATCTTTGGATAGTTTGGATCCCAAGGGTCCACCGCAGTCTCTACAGTCTAGGCTGGAGTCACTTGTGAAGCAGAGAGGAGAGTTGGATGAGAAGATTAGGGCACTCGAAAATGCGCAGCGCATTGTGGAGGATATGGACTGCTGTAAAAAGGGTTATAATGGCATATTTGAGAGTTAACGGTTGGATAGTTGGGACCGAGGTTGTGATTGCTGCGTTTACTTGATTTTTTATTTCCAGTTAATTATTCCTTTCTTAGCAATTCCCTCTGTTTAATTATTTGTTGATGTGTGTGTAATTTTTATGGGGAGTTCTCATGTTGACATGTATGGTGATACATTATATGTCAAACCGCATTTTTGTTATCAAATATCTGAGGCATAAAGAATCCTGATCCCAATGGCATCTCGTTGTCTCCTGGTGTCTCGATTGTACATACGAAGTGGGACGAGAAGAAAAAGGGGTTTAGCCCTAGTTAGTTAATATAATGGAAGGAATGACTAATGCCAAGCCGAAGATCTATTATTCATCAATGACAATGTAAGCACGTGACACAATTGTGAAAAAATAAAGTTGTGTGATTTGTCGGAATCCAATATTTTTTGAAACATCAAACTATCGGAAGAAAAGGTCAAACAACATAATATAACAGTTACTTGAATGCTCATAAGCAGCGATAATTGGGAAACAAACTCGCAGTGTTAGGGGCTATTACGAGACAACGCGTTTTTTGTCTTCGCGTCTGTTTCTTGTCTATGTTCTCCAGGGACCATTATATCCGAACATCTTATTCACCAATTGTTCGATTTCCACCACTTCCCACACCACTTTTCTACCACTACCCTTAGCCTAACATAACGGCTTCTTTTTTAATTTTGTCATCTGGATCTTTCTAGCAAGCGGGTATTTATGGCTTCTGGCAGAAAGCGTAAACGCTCGCAGGTGTTCGAGAACAACGCGAATGCCGGTCCAAACATATCTCCAGATTCCCAAAATAGCAGTGAGTTTGGTTTAGCTGAAACTCTTTCGATACTCCGGAGTGACAACAACCAAACATCTCAGCAATCTGAACCTGCACCAATTAAAAAAAGAAAGAGAGTAGGAAATGAAAAGGCCAAATACCCAACTCTGACCTATATTGAAGGCCGATTGCAGTCTTCTATCAAAATCGCCGATCTGCAAAGTCTCCTCCTCTATTGTATTGGGGATGGCATTGCCCCGCAATGGATCTCAATGAAGCATTCTGGACATGTCAGGAAAGTGGTCGTGTTAATGGTTCCTGGCCTGGAAATCGGCATGTTTGATGGTACTGTACCTCTAGTATCTGACACCTGTTCTGGTCCAACATTAGATGTGAATGATGCCAGTAATTCCACCATAGACAAAACTGACGCGAACGGGACTGGAAATGGCACCGGAGAGAAGAACTCGGGAGAATTTGAGAGCTGGAAGAAAGGCCTACCTCTAGACAAAAACACAGCACAATTCAATCCAAGGCCCCTTTCCGCGGACCAATTGCCTGATCCGTTGAAACCACTAGCTGATATGTTTCCACATGTTTGGCCTGTTAAATCTCCAGGAGACTCAAAGTACAATAAAGTGCATTCCCCACTACAAGCCATTTTATTATCTGCTCTGCCTAAATCAAAAGACACAAATGAGTCCAAGGGTCCGAAGCCTCCGCGCGGAGAAGGCAACTGGTTATCAAAAAGAACGCCAATTACTACATTTCTGAGTTCTTTGGAGGATTTAAGGGATAACGAATATGTACTGCATCCGGCATTGTTTGATGACCCCCAAGATGCATCTGCAAATGCAGATCTTCGTGCTTCTCTGGGCCAGTCTCCAGAGGACGGCTGGGTAGACTCTAAAGTTGATCAATATTCCGATGTCGAAATACCAGAGAAGGACATTCAGAAGGGCAGTATTACGGCGGGACGCGAAATTCTATCTCTCGATTGCGAAATGTGCATCACGGAAGGAGGATCTTCAGAACTTACACGGGTGAGCCTCGTTTCCTGGGATGGTGAAGTGGTTCTAGATGAACTAGTTAAACCAGAGAAACCTATCATCGATTACCTGACGCGATTTTCTGGGATCACACAAGAAATGTTGGATCCTGTAACAACTCGTTTGGCGAACGTCCAACAGAAGTTGCTTTTGCTATTGACTCCCAAAACCATTTTAATCGGCCATTCCCTCAACTCTGATCTCTCCGCCCTAAAGTTAACGCACCCATTTATCATCGACACCTCAATTATTTATCCTCACCCTCGCGGAACTCCTTTGAAATTAAGTTTGAAATGGCTATCCCAGAAGTATCTTGGCATGGAAATCCAAAAAGGCCAAACAGGGCATGATTCCATTGAAGATGCGCGAGCTGTGCTCGAACTCGTAAAGCAGAAGTGCGAGAAGGGTGAAAGGTGGGGAACAAGTGAGGCCTCTAGTGAGAGTATATTCCGTCGCCTTTCCCGAGCTACAGTCCCAGGAAGATCTGGTAGGAGTGCGGAGAACAGAGGCCGAACTGGGGCTGTTGTGGACTGGGGTAGTCCAGAGCGGGGATTTGGGTCTCAAGCGACAGTAGCTTTGGGCTGCAAAAATGATGATGAAGTTGTCGCTGGGGTGAGCCGTGCTGTTAATGGTGACAAGGATGGCCACTTGGTTCCTGGCGGTGGTGTAGACTTCACCTGGGCTCGTCTACGTGAACTAGAAGTATTCCGAGGCTGGTGCAACCGGATCCCCGACCCGACGAAGGTGAATGAGTCCTCCGCAGTCCCAACGAAAGCAGTCGACCCCTTGAATGGAGAACTTTTAGTCGAAGCCGACAATTCCAACCCCGAACATCTTGCATGTGCTGTGGCTAAAACAGTTTCATGTATCCAGCGAATTCTGGATTCTTTACCACCGTGCACCCTTTTCATGGTGTACTCAGGTACAGGTGACCCACGGGAAGTTTCCCGCCTCCAAGAGCTACACAAGATATACTTGCAAGAGTTTCGCTCCCAGAAACCATGGGCTGAACTCAGCGTGAAATGGACAGATACTGAAGAGCAGGCGTTGAAGAGGGCATGTCAAATAGCAAGGGAGGGATGTGGATTCATGACTGTAAAGTAGCTGGGTAATATTTGACTTGAGCATCTCCACCTAACCCCCCTAGTTGGTGGTGGCCATCAAGTTCAAGTGTATACTTAAATACCTAGGTTAAGATATTGTGGAACCAGAGCAACTGGACACAATGAGCGACTTGGTTCCATATATTTACAGCCAAAGGGTATGAATGTTGAAACGGCTCATATTATGCAGTTTTTAGGTCGATGCCAGCCGCAACGTAGGGCATTGCTATGTTGATATCAGCCAAATTCCCTCAGCTTAATTATCGCTGAAAGTAAGCGGATTTGGCGAACTGGAAAATGATCCTAATAAGATACTAGACGAATAAGGAGCCCTGCTCTGACGTACCATTTTGAATTTTTCCAATTAAAAGTAACATTAAAGATTCCCTAAAGAATTATTTGAGAGATAAACATGAGTGACACCATAATCCTTTGCCCCCTTCCTTTGTCTATGTTGTTACTATGAAGCTGCATCTAACGCCTCCTCCCTCTGCATCGCCAGCTTAGCAAGAGAATCCCGAGCCGCAATTTGTGATTTTCGTTTGTCACGAATCGGGTCAGCAAAGCTTTGAGACTGTGCGGTTTCCTGCGTAGATCCTTCACCTTGATTATTGGCGGCTGTGTCCTCCCGGTCAAGTGGAGCATTATCGCTATCGCTCTGGGAATTAGGGATCGTTTTGGAAGGGCACTCGCTGTCTGGCGGCGTTGGTTGAGTTGGATTTTCCTGAGGGTCCCTGGCCTGCTGTTCTTGTGCTGTGATTTCTTCCGTGGTGAGGTTATTAGGTTCCTGGCCAGAGTTTTGCTGTGCATTCCCTTGGTCAAGCGGAGCAAGGGATAAACGACTTGAGAGTCGTGCACTGGCTCTCCTGGCCTTTTTCTTGGGTTTCTTGGGTCTGAATTTGTTCTGGATTTCTGAATCGTCTACTACTGGACAGTGAGAAGGATCTGCAGAGGTTGGTGGATTTGATGCACTTGTAGCATTGTTATCCTGATCCCGCAGGGGAACTTTTGTGGTTGCTACAGTTGCCGATATCGACTTAGTCCTTGGTCGTCCGCGAACAGGCTTAAGAACTGTTTTCTGTTTCGGTTGCCTATCTGGTTTAACTGGCTTTGGGTTGGAAGTTTGTTTCGTTTCCAGATCTTGACGTTTGTCTGGAGATTTTTGAGGACCAATTGCATGAGCAAGAATAGTCTCTTCACCACGATTTGCATCAGTTGACAATTGTTGGTGCTTCGGTGTTTGCCATGATTCAGCAAGCTCATCGGTGTCGGAATTTTGAGTTTCGTTGGCAATTTTATGAGTGATTATTGATCTTGGCAGGGCAATACGGAAATGGGAAGTCACACCACTTGTCAAATTCATCCTTTTCGATGTGGGTTGAAGGCATTCAACATCGGGTAAACTTATATTGTTACCATCTTGTGGCAGATAAATTTCTTGCAGGAAAGGGCGCTTCCCGTTAGAATTCATGGGTGTTGAATGTCCCCTTTGGCCTGAAATTGAGGTATGACGAACTGAATTTGATGCAGGAGTCAAACGGCCGTTGTTAGCAGCGGAGGTTCGCTCGATTTGGGTTGGCGGAGTATTTTCTAACTCCTTGACTTTAAGACGTAAGGAGTCGTTTTCCCGTTTGAGGACATCTATCTCAATCCCTTTGGCTCTGACTTCCCTTAGAGCAGTTGCCATGAGCTCATATCCATCGTGGGGTGCTTGAGATGGATGGTCTTGAGTTGGGACTGACATGGTGAGGCGCCCAATTTCACCTTGCAGAGAGGCGATGGTCTGTCTCAATTCGTCAACCATGAGTTTAAGCTCTTGAGGGATGGGTTGGGTTAATGAAAATGCGAGATGATCTTTTTCAGACTCTTGATTGTTAGATTGGCCGTCTATATGCTGGTGATGGCCATTTGACACACAAGTACTGAAATCCGACGATCCAAAAGGCCACTCATTCATGGCGGAGTTTAAGCGGGGAGAGACCGGCTTTCCTGTAGCGATATCCCTCAGGGAAATTTTATTCAAGGACCAAAGAAAATGAAACTGGCTGGAGCAAGTCAAAATTCATTGCATGACCAAACTATATCAGATAGACTCTTACATAAAGCCATCCCTGGGCATATCTTTTTGTACTCCATGCCCGACAATTTCCAGACATTGTTTACAAATAATTGCGCGGTGCTGCTCATCTTCGGTTGGGTACAGGTGGGAGACTGGCTCGGAAAGAATGCTGTTATCAAACACGCAGATTGAACCGGGCGAATACATATGCGAAGAGCGACTGGTCCAGTAATTGGGGCCAATGGCTAGTATAGAAGCACATTTAAGGCAACGGCATGTTATTGTTTCTGATCCCTCCCAAGGTACTAGAAGAGACGCCGCTGAAGCGATAATGGGATTTAAAGCCATCGACTAGGCACAAAATAACAATATAACAAGAATGTCTTCCTGTTCGTCTGATACTAGAGATCATAATCTACCATCCTCCTGATAGCAGAGAGAGAATTAACCTCTTCTGGATGAAATCTGTTCTCCAATTCCAACATAACTACATCATTTCTGACAGTTCGAAGCGAAGCGGGTGGTTAGAAAGTTTTGATGCAAAGAACACGTGGATGACTAATACGCGTTCAAGCCTCACCTGAGCAAATTGCCGTGGCTGGAGAACTCCTGACGCAGGATATCAACCGTGACGACAACATATCTCGAACCTTTCCGCAAGTGGATCTATAGGACGGTTTCATTATTGGCTTTCTTTACTGCTACTTTGAAATTGCCCTGTATCAGATGTCAAGGCATCCATCTAACATTAGCCCTTATTCATCGGCGTATCTATTTTGCAATACTCAACAACAATGAATAACGTATCCATACTCTGGGCACAACCGGCCATCCTAAACGGTTGATATTGGGGATAATGACTTTAGAGCTCCCATATTCATTTTACCCCACATATATGCCGGCATTAATATCCCATCAGTGAAGCTGGGACAGAAAATCTCTTTATAACTACCGATAACGACCGGTGTGTTCTGCCCAAGTGGTCAATGAGTTTATTATGGGCTGTCGTTTGTCAACTAGCTACTAGTTCGTTCACTCTTTGGTCACATTTTTTCCAGCACCTGCATGCTGGACAATGTCAGCGTTCTTTAATGGGATAGAACTTGACAATGCTGCCGTGGAAGGCTGCATGACGTGTGACTGCTTAGGTAGCCAGCAAGACCAACAAGAAGGAATAACGACCGTTTTTATCTTGTTAAACCCTAGTTGAAATTAAGCGGAAGTTAAATGTGACAAATGCTGTATCAAGGTCTCATAGTTGATGATTGAAAAGGAATTTGATACGACCAACACACTGGAGATTGCAGTCGACATGTAAAGTCTCCAAACTCCGCAGAAACCCCACAAACTTCCTCGCATGTGGATCTGATGGTCTGACTTGGTCTCCCAACATTGGAAACTCATCTTCGTCTTGTTGTCATTGCTTTGGTCGGCTTCAGGAGGATCGAGCTCCGCATTGCGCCTATCAAAAATGGGCTGAAGGAGACGTCCGATATGATATTTGCCAAGAGATATGTGAAACGTTTTGCTCAAGTTCAATGACAACCATGGATGCAGCAGTGTAGCTCTGTGGATATCCACGTGGAATTAGTCGCGTGCGACAGATCAACCGACAACCAATCGATTCATTGGTACAATGTTGCTGTTATGTTTAAAATTTCCAACCTTGCAGACTCGGGAACGGGATCCCAGGACACAGGACACAGGACACAGGACCTCGAGACTTGAACTTTGGCAGGTTCTGGAGTTTATGACAGTGCTCGGGCTATCAGGCAAATCGTGGGATCTTTCTCAGAGGATATTAGATGTGGTTGGGAAGCTAAGCCAAACATATGGAGTTTGGGTCACGTGGTAGGGATAACTAAAGATATTTCTTAGTGCCAGGAACCCTCGGGCCGGAAACCTTATGCCTAAGCAATGCACGGACCAGCTGGGTGCCTGGGGGACAGGATCATCCTAACTCCGAGGCTTCCTTGATCTAGCTTTCAACTTCTGTTTGTTTACTCACTGCCTTCGGGATATGTAGCACATCCATGGGCCCAGCTGTCCCCTATCCTGAGTCAGAGGAAGCTTGTTTCTCGGACCCGGTTGCTTAACTGAGTCACGTTCTCTAGGTGTGTTTTGGTCCACTCTCCCGAATTCGTGCGGCGAAAGATTTTGCTCCGTGTTCACAGGGACTGGGGAGTGGAGTTCAAATCATTTCGCTCTTTGTTCCGTGTTTTGCCATTTCGTTCTCTTTCTCAACTCAGAGCAGTATAGGATGTCGATTGCTGACTGGAATTGATTCTTATTGAACAGATTGATCGGCCCTATTCTGGTACCGACATCCTACGCTCCAACTACCGTCCAATGCCGCATGAAGCACACCTTACCAGGTGCCTCTCACAAAGCATATGAGGATATGAGGATACTTGGTTATTTGGAGTCCGGATTCATGGTTGACGCTACCTAATTGGCATTGGCAGTCTCTGGTTGGGAATGTAAAATACCCTGAGGTGTCCAGGCAGAAACTGAATATTGAAAGAGCCAACCTTTTCATTGGATGGAACATCTCCTGGCAGCATCTTCTAACCTTGGAATTCTGCTGCTTCTCAATATCCGCTGCTGCACCATTTATCGAGCAATTCATGTCTCCCAGATTGGCTTGGACAGCCCTAACGCGCGTGACTCAAATCACTTGGCGCGAAGACACTTCATAGCCGCCATCTCGTTGCCTTATTGTTGCCTGCTGGGGAGATAGTTCCATACCACCCTGCCACGCTCAGTGCATCAGTAAGTGTTACCAGATTTTATCTTAATTTTAGACGCCTGGAAACGTGTGGATATGCTCTGTTTGCCTTGTTTGCCCTTTGGGAATATTGTTCCTGTGACCTTGCTGAATTCCGCCTTTTGGTCTTGCCCAACAAAAAGCAACAGACTCTCCATTTGGCAATTATTGTTTCTTTGTACTTTACGTCTTTGAAACTGACAGCTTGTAATGCAGGCCTACACTGCGCGCTACGATTGGGCTTAGAGAGGAACTTGTGCCAATATTCCTCCGACGCCAAATCAAGGGCATGCTGGGCCTGGCCGCATTCGATCTCCGCCAGCGTACACCTTTCATTTAAATATTGCGGTCCACATTTGACATCCTTTTGAACCTATCGCCAACAGTGAATGTGTGCTTCTCAACCTATTGTCCCATTTCGCCATTTCGATGAATCATACTTCTATTATACCATCATCGTTTTAATATTTAAGTGACAAGAACTTCCGACTTGCCCTTAGTTCCAAGTTTGTTGAAGTGCTACTATAAGTCCTTTTTTTTTCATTTCTAATCACATAATTGTCCCCTATTTTCCTCACACTCTTCTGAAATGGATGAAGCCACCCAGAAGTCTACCCAGCCATACGCTGACCCGCGGCGGATGGGGCTTAACAACTCTGGATTGGATGAACAAGATATTCCCGATATTATTTGTGTTTTGCATCCAAACTCCCTTTCTGCTTACGACGCCGTAAGTGCAACTGCGCGTTATGGACTACAGCATATCTTACAAAGGGACAATCTGGAATACGACAGTGGGGTCCCAAACAGCTCAAATCGCGATATTGCCTTGAGGTTTTCGTCTTCCGTAAAAGATATGAGCATGGGATTTTGTTTTGGTCGCAACCCGAATCGCTGCGATGTATTGCTCGCTCGAGATGATAGCGAAAATAAAATCTCCAAAGTCCACTTTCGGATCTTTCTAACACGAGACAACATCCTAATGCTGCAAGACACTTCAACCAATGGAACCCTTGTAGATGACAATTTTGTTCAGAGGGATAATAAGTTTGGTGCTCCTTCTACCCAAATGCTCGTTTCTGGTTCTATCATTCATGTGACGAATGATTCGATAGCTGGCATTAAGTTCATTGTACGCATTCCTCCTCGGGATGGCTTTGAACGTCAGTACACGCAAAACGTAATTCGTTACATGAATCGTGTACATAATAATGCTTGCAAAAAACCCGGGGTTGGTAGAGGAACACCGGGAAAGGTGGCGCAGCATGACGGTTTTCTCATTGTTCCTCAGCAAGGCGGACAAACTCACGGAATGCACTGGAATGGCGGTTCCAAGTATAATGTTACTGGCCAGATTGGCAAAGGGGCATTTGCTACTGTTTACAAACTCGCAACGAAAAGAGACGGAGTGCTCTACGCTTGTAAAGAGCTCGACAAACGACAATTGATAAAGAATAATATTTCTGACCACAAAGTTAACAGTGAAATGATGATCATGAGTGGATTGCGGCATGTAAGTTAGTCCCATCAATTGTCCTCATTTCTAATGTGTGGAAGCTGACTGCTATTCAGCCAAATATCGTTCAGTTCAGAGACTATCATGATCACGATAACCGCTGGATTTACATTATAATGGAATTTGTCCCCGGAGGTGAATTATCTGCTTATCTTAACCAATGCCATCATCTTGCCGAGGACCAAGTAAAGTCGATTTCTCGCCAAATATTGCACGCCCTTCAGTACCTCCATAGAAGGAGGATAACGCATCGCGATATCAAACCCGACAACATTTTAATCCAATCTTTTGATCCGCTGTTTGTTAAGCTTTCGGACTTTGGACTCTCGAAGGTTGCTCAGGAAGAATCTTTCATGAAAACCTTTTGCGGGACCCTATTGTATTGTGCTCCTGAGGTTTATCCTGAATATGACAAGTACAGGCGAGGAGAAGCAAGGAAGAGAAGACGTGTTGCTGATCCGTGAGCTCTTTGTACCATTTATTGCATCCAACAGCTCTGCTAACTTGTTCTCTCCAGTGTCCCGAGGACATCCCCGTACGATCAATCAGTCGATATGTGGTCCTTTGGCGCAGTGACGTTTCATATTCTTTGCGGAACTGCGCCATTTTCTGGTCGGGGAGACGATCGAGGCGCATCTATGCTCCGCAATATCATGACTACTAATGCGGATTACGATCTACTTCGACATGCGGGAGTATCGGAAGATGGCGTCGATTTTGTTTCGAAGCTACTCAATCGTGATCCGAGGGCTAGACCCAAGGAATCGGAGTGTTTTAAACATCCCTGGATCAGTGACGTTCCAGACGAAATTGCCTATTCACAAATTGACGAACCTGAAGATCAGGAATTTGACCCAACTTTGGCAGCCGTGAGGGAAGTCAACGAAGATGATGAGGCAGAAAGACTCGATGCTTCTGGCATTGATCTCAATGATCGCCTCGACGAAGACTTCGATAAAGAAATCGATGACTTGGAGGACCAAGAGGAGACACCCACGAACCATAATGATGTTAAAAGACAGCGGCTTTCCCATTACACTGAGGAGGAAAGGCAACAAGTTGCCATAACTCACACTCCTGCCGACATAACCTACCCTTCATTACCAAATCTTGATAGTTATGAGCTAGCCCCCAGTATCCTTGCCCAAGCAGCTCAGTCATCGGAGCCCCGCCTTTTTGGGGAGATCACAGGGTGTGACCTGGGGTCCTCCGGCGCCTTTGGGGCCAACAACAATCTACCCGAAAATATCTCCAGATTTGAACTCCGTTCTAATTGTGCGGATCCGTACGATTATACTTCATCGGATGTTGAATCATCAAAAAGTATCAATATCATGGCTCCTCCTCCAGCGCGGACCTACCATCAACGTTCTGGCGTTACACTACAGCGCGGTACCTCTGCACCAAGCTTAATGGGCGCAGAATCACTGGTGGGCCAGTTACATATGGAATCTCCTGATGGACGATCACCAGACTCCACGAATCCTACTAGCAACAATCAAACTACCCCAGAAGATTCTACTGACAGCGCACTGTCTTCTAAAGCCGGAGATTCAAAAAGCGGGTCGCAAGATGATAAGAGAGAGGAGTTTAGGCAAAATCACAATGGCCTCGACTCTAACCAAGCACGATCAATTTACGCTGGCGACAAATGCCTCCCCACCCCAGAAGCCGCGCCCAGATCTGCAGCCAACCCATGCCATTTAGGACCCGAGCACACCTCTAAATCATTCGACCCAAATCTACACCTCGAACTCGCCACCACCATCGACGAGCGGACAGGAAAAGAAGTCTCACGGTTCGATGGCTCCGACGCTGACTCGGGGGCTAGGGAGTCAAATCCTGCAGAGGGTCGATGCTCCCACGACCCTAGATCAACGCCTAAAGTCGCAAGCCACAAACATGCTATAAAACCAACACCCCCATTCGGGGCACTCATCTCAATTCCCGGGTCGATCACTGAGACAACTCTTTACCTTGAGTCGCGCATGACCTCGTGGGGGCGAGGACCTAGGGTAACCGTTCGTTATTCGGATCCTATGGATAGCCGTATCCCGGCCTATGCTCTTGAACTCACATTTTGGGCGCCATCAATCGAATCGCGAATAGCTCAGGGTGAAGACTGGACCCAGGTTCCTGGTGTTATGACCATCTTATCCACTAAAGCAAGTAATTGCATCTGGGTCAACAATGTGGAACTGCGCAAGGAGACACAGTCCCGGGATGCACGTCTTTTTGGCAAATTGTACACGGGCGATATAATCACTGTGTTCAGAGACCGCAAGCGCTATCTGCGCTTTCGATGCGAGTTTTACCATGGGGAAAGCGCCAGGATGCGACCTCTAGAGGAGAAAGGGTTCATTATTCAAAAGGCGAAATATGAGCGGAGTAGAAGTGAAGGTGAAGTGAGTTTGAAGACTATCCAGGACACCAAAACGGAGACAGCGCCGGCGGCGGCATCCACTATTGCTGCCTAAACGGAGGGCGATTGTCGGATTGATGGGAAACACGAAAAAGGGGCCTAGCAGAATTGATTGATGTTTGGGTTTGGGCTTTTACACCGGTTTGTTTGGTTGGTATGGTAGTACGCAAGCGATTTCTTTGCGTCCAACTTGTATTTTGGTTAGCTCCTCGTGACTGGGCTCATGCCCCCTAAAGTTTCCTAATTGCGCATCCCCAACCCTTGTTTTACATTTATCTACCTCTTATTTTGGTTTACCTACGCGTACCCTCCTTGCTTAATTTTGCCTATTTGTTTAAGGGCTTGAAGGATATGCGAGATTTCCCCTGATCTAAGGAGTGTGATATTATCTCAATATGGGGGAAGATTATTAAGGATACAAATACAAATTATTCATACACAGTTCGGCAATGTAAACGCAACTTGTCATTAGTATCGGCATGTTTATAACTCCTAACTAACAGATATATCAACAGATTCTTGGACAGAACAGTTTTCGGCTTTTCGGGGGTTTTTAGCCTTTAACTAGTCTTGGACTGATGCAGTAGATCTAGATCTGATCTCCTAAATTAGCACCTTTGACAAAAACTCCCTTGCCTTCAATATATGTTTGCATTGTCGGAACTCGGCAAGGGCACAAAATAATGGGATTCAAAGCCATCAAAGCCTATCCTTGCATTTTAAACAAATAGCTTCGCTAGCGAGGGTTCTGGTGGACAGGCAAAGCTCGACAGCCTGTGTCTATCCCATCCTACCCTTCAATACAGAATAGCGGGTGCGTTGATGTCAACATGATGTCCATTGTCCAGACAGTCCCTCGTTTGATTCTGTTGCTGCTCGTATCTCTTCTCCCCTGTGTGTCAGCCCAATGGATCTATCCTCCCAACATCCCTTCCGGCAAAAACCTCGCTGATTACACATCCAGCGCCACCTCCCCCATCACCGACTTTCACGTCTACGATATTGTAGTTGGAGGCTTCAGAACACCCAAGCCGAGCTTTACAATCTCCCGATGCGCCAAAGAGGGTCGAACCGTTCCGATCTATCCATCAAACAGCACCTTCAATTCCACTGATGGCCATCTCGCTGCGGACGGCACCTGGGAGGCCATGGATAGCTACAGCAATGGGCCTTGGGCCAATATCTACAGAGCAGGCAAGCAGCCATGGATCTCTCCCTTGTGGCACATGGTTGGTAACGAAACAACGGGCCGCGTGTGCTGGTGGGAGCTGTATAGTGTGCATGAAGAGAAGATACCCTGCTACCCGACGGAAGAACACGATTGTACCAACGCATTCACACGGACGGTGACGGTGCTTGGGAATGATAGGGAGAATTACTTTGCGACTGTACCGTTCGTCGTGCACCCGGAGATGAGGGAAGGGAAGAAGAACTATACATGGCGGAACGGCGATCATACGGGGTCGAGAACGACGTTGGTATTTTCCAACAGGCCAACAGGAAACGCAGCAGTGCGGTTAGAGGCAGCGTTTTCATTAACCGGAATCCAAGGCGGTGTGCTGGCTGGTTTGATATCAGCCCTTGGGGTGGTCCAGGGATATTTTTAGTAGTTAACTATGCAACCAGAAAGCCATCACCGCCATTAGTTTGACCATTTAATCCAAGCTTGCATTTTTCTCTCACCATTAAAAGAGTGAATTGCGTGTCTTCAACATAACTAAGCAACCACCAGCTCTATTTTTTCAACCCGTAGCATAACTACCAACAACATCTGGTGTTTGCATATAACCCTCTACATGCCACACGAGAACAGTGTAGAATCCAAATAAGTGGAATGACCACTGTTTCTGCTCTCTGCTCTGCTCGCTAATATCTGCGAATTTCACCCAGCTTTTATAGCCACGGATCGTTCGCCTCAACCCCCATGCTTTGGTAAACTACGGCTTATGTTTGCTAAATTACGTACAAAGATTAGTATTCTAGTTGACATGAGTGTGTGTGTGTGTGTGTGTGTGTGTGTGTGTGTGTGTGTGGCTGGCGATTTTCTGAATTCAAGAAGAAATTTAAAAGTGAAATTAAATGAAAATTACAAAATAACCGATAAATAGCTAGTTTGTGGCATTGTTCGATGGGATATCTCACTCCGCAGCGAGTTCGCTCCGCTGCTGTTTGACGCTGCATCTCGCCTCGCTTGGCGGTGTTAGCTGCATTGGCAGGCATAAAAGAACAGTTGCCACCAGGTGGGGGGGGGGGGGGGGGGGCTGCTTCGTTGTGTTTCCTTTCTCTAATAATATTTATCGTTGCCATATATATTCTCCAGAATTGTGCTTGTCCGCTGGTTCCAATTGGATTTTCTGAGTGCTCTGAACTTCTTTGTCACTCACCCTTTACCACCGGCCTCATGCAGACCCCAGGCTCATCCCGCAGAAGGAAAACAACAATTCTCCCTCCTCGTAAGCCCCACAAACCTTGGGTCAAACGTCCTGCATCTGACATATTTCATAGGGCCTGATATTCCAAATGGGGTGGCGTTGGAAGAGATCGTACCCAACAAACATGACGCGAATCTTAGCCGTATCCGCAAATTTGCAGTCCGCCCTTCTTCTTCGACTGCGCAAGAAGTCTCACAGTGGCCATGCCTTCGGCGAGTTCAATGGCGGCGAGATAGCATCCACCATGCGTACAAAGTCCCGCCGGTAAGCAGGACTCACCACCGGGATGCGCTTGTCTACCAAACCCGAGGCCAAACTGTGTATTCTGGCGATGACATGTGCAGTGGGTGTCAAGGGGGAAGAGGTCCGTTTGTAACCTGTGTGGTTGCTATGACAAGTGACGGCAATTACGCAGGAGGGGCCTGTGCGAACTGTGTGTGGCGTCGACAGGCGCATACGTGCACCCTAAAGCAACCTGATGACATTGATTCTGGGGGTGAGCTACTCTGTTCTCTTGCGTGCTTTTCTCGTTATATATGCTTGCCTGCCCTTGAAACTCCTTTCCTATCTGTCCTATGTATGCTAAAGGGACAACTTGCCTAAAGAAAGTGAATATGAAGAATCTGAATGTGAAACGGGTGGGGATGAGGATGGGGATGAGGAAGTAGAAACAAATCTACAAACTCCTCCGCCATCGCAGGCTTCCAAACGTAAGGCGTCGTGGACAAACAGGACTCCGACAAAGTCGTCCAAGACGGTGTCAAGCAACCGCGTCGCAAAACGGAAACCCCTCCCGCAAGAACCATCGGATACCGGGGGTCACGGAAGAAATCATGGAAGAAATCCCAAAATAGCTGTTATTATCCCATCTCGTTCCAACTCCAGCCCAACTTCATCAAGCAAGAAGTATTTCAGAATCCCACCCTCCCTCTCTCCAAACATTACGGAAGATATACGTCAAGCCGTTCACGAATTGGATGAACTGCGTACAAAATTGTATTCCCGGCTTGAGGTGCTTGAGTCGATCCTGCTTGAGAGCTGGGAGTAGGTTTGTTTACGTTTAAAACCATTCAACAACAAGAAGAAAAGAAGAAAAGCTGCCCCGTCTTTCACTAGGAGGGAGAGAGAAACAATACATGACCTCTACGCAACAGGAAATTGATCTTGCTACGCATCGCGGCGTATGTTGGAATGCCGAATGAGCTGTTGGCATTCATGGCAGATCCCCATCCAGCGTATTCCAAGCCATGGCCCGAAAATGGATTCCCGTGATCGAAGCCATTATGTAGTTTAGTCGTGTTCATTCTAAAGCCTCCAATTGAAAATTCCTCCATGTCGAAAGCCTAAATTCTCTCCACGCCTTGTTAATAATAATTATAATCATTATTATGATATGCCCAGCCGAGCCTTTTCAAAGAGTAATAAAATGATTTGTCAAATCATTCTTGGTAACTGGTTAACTAACTGGCCAAGGGTTAGCTAAATAGACCGTGGACAACCTCATATGACTCGGATAGAATAACTAACTCCCATAACCAATCACACCGCACAAACCAAAACCAATTGCATCCCTCCGCGCATAACCCCCCAAGGATGTGCGCAAGCATCATTAGGTGGACTGAACAAGGGCGATCTGCCAGGGCCTCATCTCGCGCACCGATAACATGGCCAATGGGAAAAAAGAAAAAAAAAAAAGAAAGACCCCTATATCCACGTTATTTATCGTCTGGTGCGCATCGCGCATTGCAGATTTCCACAAGGCACAGAGTGCTTGTCGTGAGGCCTGTCAGAAATATTAAACCGATTGGACACCAGAACCCCCCCATCTCATTGCGCACTGCCTTAAGTTACTACATTTCTTTCCGGCTACACTACTAACCCGTGACGATGATGATAATGATGATGCAGTCGGGCTGAAGTCCCCGGATCCCAGTGTGGTGGTTCGCCCAGCGTCCCGCCGGAATTGGCGGATCTTGGTATGGAAGGGAAAACACACGGGAATTAGGCGACAGAGATATTCCTAGCTGCTGGATGTCCTAGAACTGGAGAATGAAGGCCATGAGATGAGATATATATGCTCACTCGGCAAAGGGAATGATGTTATATGGCAAGCAGTCAGGAGTTTTCGAGTCGAGGGATTTGGATGAGGTTTTCTCTTTCCGGGTGTTGGATGAGAACGTTGTTATTCATGCCCAGGGAGTCATTCTTGGCCAGAAAGTCATTGTTGCAAAATACAGAGCAGCGGCAGTGCAGGCTGATGGTAATAACGAAATTGATCACGACGAATTCCTTATGTGTACGTCTGAAGAACAAGGGGGGTTACCGGATATACTACTGTGTATATGCATCCATGGCTTTATGCGTCTGATGCCTGAGATACGGAGAAGCAGAATCGATCATCCTCAATCACTGAGGAAGTGTACAAGGGTCCCGAGGGCAGTTGGCCGCAGGACAACGCGCTGGGGACGGCTGGGCAGATCAATCTGGCGCAGTGGATGATGGGGTTGGGAGGGGTGGCGATGTGGTTGCTGACGAGGCATGGGGAGCCGGAGCCGGTGGGGAGGTGGATTTGGAGGGTAGGGATGGGGCGGAGAGAGAGGAGAGGAGGGGAGGGAGAGGAGAGAGAGGAGGGTGGGTCTATCATTATATGAGTTTCCCGTCTGATATCTCATTAAAGACGTATTACGCAATTCTGATTCTCTCTTGTTGGGGAGTGATATGCCAATGCCAATTAATAGACGACGGATGGTCTGGGCGGGGGAACCTGCTGCAAAAAGGGGTTGGTTGTTGGTTATCCGTTTACACTTACAACCCCTTCCCCTTTATAGAGGGGGATGTAACTATAACAAGGGTTGTCGTGCCTCTTTTGCGGACCTTGCTTTTGTTTATATTCTGACTTTTGGGGTATTTCATGAGTAAATATTAGTGTGTCCTGGAAAGATTATAATGTTGAGTTATACAAATCTAGTTATTTCTTCTTTTCTTACTAGTCGGTAGAATTAAACCCATTTTATTTATTTACTTATTTATTATTATTATTATTATTATTATTATTATTATTATTATTATTATTTTAAAAAAAAAACAAGCATCATCAGTTACCCGAAATGACTTTTGCCGGTTCTGATGTTCGTTATGGTATCTCAAACAAACCCCGCAGCCCCGATCCATGGGTTGATGTGAACGTTATATCGAAGAAGAAGGAAAAAACCAAAATAAATACACAAAAACATCCGAACCCTACCTACCATACTTGCCCCCACCAAAGAGGCGCCTCGATGACGTCTAACGCGCTCCAACAGCTGTGCTTCATGACACACACACACACACACACACACACACACACACACACACATACACACACTCACTCACTCACACACTCACATATATATATATATATATATTTCCTGATGATTTGTCGGCGGCTGGTCAAAATGGTCCCTTGAAGCACCATCGGGAGCCCTTGTTTGATGTCATTGAAAACACGGCCACCGCTCGCCTGAGTCGTCGGTTGATGGATCCATCCCTTGACAAACAAGTAACTGCTCCGTAGGAGAGGAGGAGGATGATGATGATGATTGGTGGCTTCTCCTATGGAGACGACACCGCCACTCGCAACCAGGGCTGAAACATACGAATCCGTCCGGCTCGGCGATTTATGTGAACAACTATGATGAACATCGATACATGTCGGGATTTCTAAGTTGCCGGTGATTGTATGAAATGATTGAGACTTCGAGTCCGACGGTGCGCAAGGATTTCCTCTCCACCCTTGACTCGGGAATTTTGTGCACCATGTGGAGTTGCAGAACGGGGTCCGTATGGAAGAACCAGGACGGACGGACCTTGCAAGCTTCATGAACATAGTAATAGAACCCCATGGCTGGCTAACTGGGGAAACAATCTCATGGGACGGCAAGTTACAGCGATAAAATTACAGATAGACGCCCGTGTTGATTGGCTGTCCCACAGCGGTTGCTGAGGGCATTTTACTTTTTCATTTTACTTTCTCTTTCTACTGTTACCAGATTGCCTCCCCAAAAAAGCCCGCCCTCCTTTCTCCGATCAAATGACTCGGCAGAAAAGTGTGGCCTGCAAAAGTGGTCCAGGCGGTCCCCAGTTGTTCCCAGACTTTTGTGTTCATAATTTGCCCGAAACTGCCTTGGATTGCTCGATCAGGCAACTTTCGGCTTTTTCTTTTTCTTTTTCTTTTCTTTTCTTTTCTTTTTTTTTTTTTTTTTTTTTTGTGTGTGTGTGTGTTTCTTTTCCTGTCTGGGTCCAACGTCTGAGGATCACCTTCAACATCCTCAGCCACAGGTAAACTGCTTCTTGTTCGTCCATCTCCTGTATCTCTTCGGATCTGTTTCTCGCCTCCCAACCTGGTCCTGGTCCTCTCCTCCAAACCCTGCCTGCGTGTCTCACTTCCAACCCCCCCCCCTCCCCCGCGGTTACCGCTAGAGCAAATACGGGGTGCATACGCAGAACCGGCCAGAGAACCCTCACACATAGCAGTAACTGACTCGACCTCAAGTAGCTGCAAGTAAAATCCACAGGCATTCACCGCATCATGGACATGTCAATCAGCTGCCAATCCATACGAGTCAACTTGGGTGTTTGATGCATGCGTAGGAGAGTACAAGTACCTGGTTTGATTACACATTAAATTGATTGATTACTCATGAGCAAGTGCCTCGCCAATCAAGTTAGTTACGGGGTCAACTCGACGTTGGTAATTCGTATTACATAACCCAGTGTTTGGCCGGGGGGGGGGGGGAAACGCGGTTTACCGCAGCGTTGCCGTCCAGGAACCCCAGCAACCCGTCAGTTGAGCCGTTGTCCTGGGTAATCGCAATACGGAAAAGTAACCAACCAACCTTGAAATCTATCTCGGCTAGTCATCGCCAACGACACATATTCTCCCCATCGCCTGTCTCTCGTCTGTCTCTCTCTCTCTGTCACTCACTCACTCACTCACTCACTCACTCACTCACTCTCAATCACTTACTCTCTCTCTCTCTCACTCTCTCTCACTTTCACTCTCACTGTCACTCACTCTCACTCACTCTCTCACTCACTCTCTCTCACTCACTCACTCACTCTCTCTCTCTCTCTCTCTCTCTATCCTCATGATATACAACCCTATCTGCTGATAGTTCGGCTGGCACCTTGGTCGTACGCCATACTAAACCTTCTTTAATTCTTGTTTATCCCCCCCCCCCCCCCCCCCCCCCCTTTTGGCTCTTCCCTGGATTTTTTGTTTTTTTTTATTTTATATTTAAATCCCTGCCCTTTTGTTCTTCTGGGCCGGAACCATTCATTGATCGATTTACCCATGGTATAAACAAAGATCCATATGCAGAGTACAGATGCACACAGGACCCCTGTTTGAACACCTTAACAAGACACACCAGTCGGAAAATCAAAACTCCTACGCACTTCGTGGGTTGAAGGGAGGATTTCGATCTCTCCCGTCTTCCTGCTCTCCTGCCGTCCTTCAAGCTGGCGACAAAATCCTTGACAAACAGCCGTGCTCCGCGCCATCGCAGACGCTCCTCTTCCCTTGCCACTCCCTTGAAGAATCATCCTCCCTCGCCCGTCGGGTCTAGACGTGATCAAGCTGTCACCTCCACCCTTCCAGCGTGCTCGTTCCTGCTCCCCTCCATCTCTGCTGCCCCCGATATCGATATCAGGCCGGGTATGGACACGGGGCCTTCGCCCACGCCCATGTCACTCTCGAGCTCTCCCTCACCCCGCCGTGGTGGAGGATGGCCCAGTCCCGGTCTGCCTACCGGCGCCAACAGTTCTGGGGGTTCCAGCCCTTCCAGGGGCTTCCAGGATACATCTAACAGCAACACGAGTAGTGGAAATGGCACTTTTCATGCAAACGGCTCGCCCCTGAGTGTTAGAGCTGCTGCCGCTGCTGGTGGCAGCAGTGTCCCGTGGGCCTCTGCGAAGGCGAAGAGCAGGCGGATAGTTGGCTACCCATCCTTTTCCACCAGAAATAATGGCTTTTTCTCACGACAACGACGCAAGATATCCGCGAGTTTACCGCGGTTTCGTGTCAATTCTATGCTGGAGTATGGCGAGAAGGAAAAGCTGGGCCGCGGGCGATGGTCGGGTGCCGGTGCGCTATTGCGCGCTCGCATCAAATCTTTACTGTATACTGTTGTGCGGAAGTGGAGGTTTAGATCTATTCTCCTTTTGCTGCTATCCTTTATCTTCTGGTTTTCTTATTCAGCTCGTGAGTGACCCTTTATGTCTCTCTCTCTCTCTCTCTCTCTATTTCACTGAAGAAAAAGGAAGCAAAAGGATATCAAGACACCCTAACAAATTCTAACGTTTTCAACAGGCATCATGCAATCATATCGGGGATCCTCGCTGGGTGGAGGGAAGAAGATTGTGTTGATCGTTGGGTCGAATATTGGTGGAGGCGTTATGGAATGGAAAGGCCCTCGAGAATGGGCAATTGAACGAGATAGCCTGAAAAACAAGAAAAACTACGTGAAGCGCTGGGGTTACGATCTAGAAATCGTCAACATGGTCACGAAGAGACGTTATGCGCATGAATGGCGCGAGAGCTGGGAGAAGGTTGATGCGATCCGTCAAGCTATGCGGCGATATCCTCGCGCGGAGTGGTATGTAACTGAGCTCGCTCCCGGGGACGGATATAAAGGAATATGCTACCCAAAATTTACTAACAACCCCTCTCAGGTTCTGGTGGCTCGACCTGCACACGTACATTATGGAGCCCAGCTTTTCCGTCCAATCCCACATCCTCAACAACCTCGAGAGCAAAATATACCGTGACATAAACTTCTTCAACCCGCTCAACATCACCCACCCCCCACCCGTCCCCTATCTAGACCCCATCTCCCTCTCCCCGACAGGTGACGGCAAATCCTCCTCCGTAAACATGGTAATCTCCCAAGACTGCACAGGCTTCAATCTAGGCTCCTTCATGGTCCGCCGCAGCGCCTGGACCGAACGCCTCCTCGACATCTGGTGGGATCCCGTGCTCTACGAGCAAATGCACATGGCCTGGGAACACAATGAGCAGGACAGTCTGGCACACCTCTACGCCAGCCAGCCGTGGATACGGCCGCATATTGCCTTTGTGGCGCAAAGGAGGATAAACGCATTCCCGCCCGGTGCGTGTGGGGATGGTACGGATCGCCAGTTCCATTATCACCGGAAGGATCGGGATTTCGTGGTCAATATGGCCGGGTGCAATTGGGGGAGGGACTGTTGGGGGGAGATGTATTATTATCGGCAACTGAGTTATTGGCTTAATCGGACCTGGTGGGAGCGGCTTAAGGAGGGGCTGACTGGGTTGTTTTTGAAGATGGTTGGTAAAGAGGAGATGGAGAATAAGTGGTGATGCATAGAATTTCGCTTTTGTTCGAATTCCCCCCCCCCCCCCCTTTTTTTTTTTTTTTTCCCTTCTTTTCCTCTTCTTTTCTTCTTCTTCTTCTTCTTCTTTTTATACTGGTTGTCGGTTTCGTTGGATTCTTTTTTCTTTTACGTTTTCTGCTCCTTAAGTCCCACCGTTTTCTCTATATATTCCTCCTACCTTTTTGTTTGATCGGGATACATTTCACTTTTTCACGTCTCTGGGTTATTTCCTTTTAAGTGGAATGGTTTATTCACTTCTTGTTGCTCTAT